CCCGCCCCAACCTGCAATAACCAGTTAATAATTATGTACCAAACGTTATTCAAAGAAGTTTTGGTGTGCTCGCGTGCTCACCAAAATGGAATTAACATCACCTTAGACATGATTGTGTAAGCCCTGCCCTGCAACAACAAAAATCTGAAATTTATGAACCAATTATCATTACAAAAATTTTGCTCGCTCGCTACGCTCGCTCGCCAAAATAGAAATAACACCGCTTTTAATAATTACGTCCCTGACATGGAACAATGAACCCCAAGTTTATATACCATATTTTCCCTATAAAAGAGAAGTGATTTTTTTTGCTCGCTCGCTACGCTCGCTCGCCAAAATAGAAATAACACCGCTTTTAATTATCACGTCCCTGACATGGAACAATGAACCCAAGATTTATGTACCATATTTTCCCTATAAAAGAGAAGTGAATTTTTTTTTGCTCGCTCGCTCGCCAAAATAGAAATAACACCGCTTTTAATAATCACGTCCCTGACATGGAACAATGAACCCAATTTTTATGTACCATATTTTCCCTATAAAAGAAAAGTTTTTTTTTTTTCACTCGCTACGCTCGCTAGCTCGTGGAATGATGTGCCCACCACTAATAACCTGCTACAATATCATTAAAAAGAGAAATGTAGGGGGTTGCCTGCCCGCCAAAATGGGATTGACATTACCTTAAACACGATTGTGCCCGCCCCCTACCTGCAACAATGAAACAAATTTTATTTAGCAATTCATTGAGAGAAAGATTTTTTCGCTCGCTAGCTAAAATGGGTATAACTTCACCCTAAACATAATTGTTCCCGCGCCCGGCATGGGACAATTGAACCAAGTTTAAGTGGCAATTATTAAAAAAGAAGTGATTTTTTTTCTTGCTCGCTACACTCGTTTGCAAAAAAATGAAATTAACGTCGCTAACAAGTGAATGTTCCCAGCCCCAACTTGCACCAATACCAGTTTATATACCAAACGTTACTTAAAGATTTTTTTTTGCTCGCTCGCTCGCCAGAAGTGAAAATTAGCATCGCCTTTTTTGTTTGTTTCGGTCGCTTGCCCCCCCTGACGGGGTACCCCAGGTACGCCACTGGGGGGGGGGGGGGGGTCTGGTCTAGGTCTCTACTTTTCTGAAGAGGAGTGTTAATTACACTTGTGTAATAAGATTGACAAGGTCTTCATGTCTTTTGTCCTTTCTGCAATTTATTCTGAATAGTTTAGTTGTGTTTTGTGGCCAAGTTTCTATTTCGACATCACCCCCGCGTGAGAACAGTGAAGATATATATTTTCGAGCTCAAGTACTTCCTTATTTCAGCTTTTAATCAACTACAAAGGCGATATGGGCGCGACAAAAAAAAATGAACAAAATAGGCTAAAGTTCAGTCGATTGCAACGGTTTTTCCCTCTGGCATTCACGAGTGTTCATAAAATTATATAATACTTGTATATGTTTAAGAGAACTAGTCCAATTTGACTATACTACATTGCGACGATCATATCCACTATACAGATTGAGTAATGCGTATGCAAATGAAGATTAGATTTGTATTTTTAGAGCGAGCACATTAAGGCAAAATCGCCTACATTGATAAGCGTGGTATCAACGCAATAAAAAAAACAGCTCGTTCGAAAAAATACAAGACATGAAGTAATTTGCACCAAGTAGTTAAACATGGTCTTGTTTCTGTATAACATACGTACACAGTGTCGATGTAAGATAACGTTAAGTGATTGTGACGATTGGTTTATTTTTCTGAAACTTGTCTGTTTCTTTATAAGTTTATGGATTTATGTATTTAACCAGAGAGTGTAACGAGAAAAAAAATCCAATCTGAAGCTATACTAACTTACACATTGCGTCTTACGCTGTCAACTTATAAATATAACATTTTCAAAGAAAAATCGTCAACATTTATAGAAATGTCATAATTGGTTTAATTTCTGAAAAGAAATCAAGGCCTAAGGTTTTGTTTTCAAATCACAAACACAAAGTGAAAATTGTTTACATCACAAGGCAATGTTAAAAGCTGTCTTTTAATTTGTCGTTACTTTTCTTAACTTTAATGATCTGCATTGATTTTTATTTGATAGTTTGTATTTTGATATGCTTTTTCAAGTTTACACTCATACGCGAATGTATACGGGCTTGGACCAGAAATTTCGTACAAAGGGAAGAGATCTGACCATTAGCTGCATGTTATAACTTGTAAAGTTGTAAGAGAAATAATGCCGACTATTAATGATAATGATGAAATAGCAAATAATTTAGGAGTTTCATGGGTACCACCAATTCAATGGAAATTTGTATTAAAAAAGAGCACCCGTCTGTACTAAAAGAGCCCCCTTGAGAAGGCTCACGGGGGCGCTTTTTATTTTGGAAGAGCCCCAATGGACAAAAAATTAATTTGAGCCCTGTGGTAGAGTGCCCAGTATAGTATTCGGTCACTTAAGGGGAAATCGCTAATATTTTGAATTCTTACCTCTTTTATTTGGCAATCTACCCATCAAAAGAAAAGAAATTTAATCCTCTAACAGGATTTTATAGTCACTTAAAATATAGAATGATGATAAGCAAAATACTTCCGAAAGAAGACGGAGTATTTTTCTGCCCAGAATTCGGTCGCGCCGAATAGAATTCGGTCACGCGATTTGTGCGTGGTATCTCCATTGCCAAGGAGCGAAGCGTATTTGCGCACTATTTTCGCACAATTGCGCGATAAAGCACTGAATGTCAATGCGTTGACCGAATACTGGACGAGCGATACCGCATAGCAAGGGTATCCTATAAATACCTCTTGCACATCGGCAAGTGCGTCATTTGCAAATTCGCTGCGATGGAGCGAACACGGAAGAGCTCCTCTTCACACACATACTAAATTCATTGCGACAGCACACGTAGTTGTTTCGCAATAGACTTCTACATATGGCTATGCATGTTAGCGCATGTGCTAACAGAACGCGGAAGTGCAGAAAGTTGTGCGACACTGACCAATTTCGAGCTAAGTTGGAGATCTTTCCGAGGCCCTAAATCTGATTTAATTTTGAGAGCTACGAAAAGTTGTTCAGCTGCCTGATTTGTGCAAGTTTCGTGGCTCATAAATTATTTTTATGCCTCCGCTACAAAGTAGCCGGAGGCATTATGTTTTTGGGTTGTCCGTCCGTCCGTACGTCCCGTTCTCGTGATTGCGTTATCTCAAGAACCGATTGGTTGATTCCCGCCAAACTTGGGTCATGTATGTATCTCACAGAGCCAATGATCTGATTAGATTTTGGGGTCACGAGATCCAAGGTCAAAGGTCACAGGGCTCATTATTTATGCGATAATGGCTCGTGATCGCGTTATCTCAAGAACCGATTTATGGATTCCTGCCAAACTTAAGTCATGTATGTATCTCACAGAGCCAATGAACTGATTAGATTTTGGGGTCACGAGATCCAAGGTCAAAGGTCACAGGGCTCATTATGTATGCGAAAATGGCTCGTGATCGCGTTATCTCAAGAACTGATTGATGGATTCCTGCCAAACTCAGGTCATGTACGTATCTTGCAGAGCCAATGAAATGATTCGATTTTGGGGTCACCAGGTCAAAGGTCACAGGGGTCTTTATGTATCCAACAATAGCTTGTGATCGCATTATCATGAGATCAAATAGACAGATTACTATCAAACTCAAGTCATGTATGTATCTTGCAGAGCCAATGAACTGATTAGATTTTGGGGTCACCAGGTCGAAGGTCAAAGGTCACATGGCTCATTATGTATGCCAAAAATAGCTTGTGCATGCATTATCATTAAAACCCACAGATGGATTACAATCAAACTTGAATTTAAAAATTGCTCTATGGCGGAGGCATCATTTTTGACTGCGCGCAGTCAAAGTTCCATCTAGTTTAAATTGTTACAGCTGTTGAAACGGCTGTATGACCGAATACTTGGAATGGACCGAATACTGGGCGCGCTACCCTACATGTAGTTAATTTATGGGGAAGATTTCCTTTTGCGACAGCCTGCACCCAAAATTGAAGAAAAAAATATGGGTACAGCTCTAGCTTAGAATGACATAGACCGAATTTTCTGTCTCTTTCGTTCGTTAGCCTCTGATTTGGGTAGGGTCGACTTCTCTCTTTAGAGACAGAACAGGCCCATACGCTTTAGGGTTCATGTTCTGTGTAACGTTTCTTTACACCAAACTTGGCAAAACTACCGGCCAAACTCCATATTTCACTGGATGCATATCCGGTGCATCTTATTTTGAAAATTAGGTATAGCCTGGGCTTAACTACTTCGGTTCCACTTACCAACTAGACTGAAATAATCTGTTTAATGGTCCCTTTTTAGGAAATTATGGATCAAAATCGACATCCATGTTGAAAATCTTGCAGCCGGTTTTTAAACTCTCGCTGCGCATGACGGCGTCTAAATCTCATCCCTTCTAGTCTACGCCAAAGGCAAAATGATTATGAAGGAAAAACTGTGCACGAGCTACGAGTTCGTAATGACGTGAAAATGCTGGAAAATGCCCTTTTTTAATTATTGATACAAGGAGATGAGACTAGAAGTATAGATCTAGTCTTTATCGACCAAGCACTGCGTGATAAAAATCTGAATTTGCAATGTGACTAGATCTCATTTTTATACCTGTCTTCATAAGGAGTGTCGTGGCCGAGGCAGAGTGGTTTAAGGAGCTTGACTGGAGATGCGAAGGTCGAGGGTTTGAATCCCGACACAGCACTAATATCCTTTGGCAAGATATATACCTGCACTTGCTACTCTCCACCCAGGTATTAAATGGGTATCCGGTAGGCGAGGATGCGACCGTCATTGTTGGTCAATCGGTTTTTGAGCGTCAAGTAATGCCTGGCTAGAATGCTACCCAGGGAGAGGTGATTGTGCACAGTGTGTGCGGGCACGTATTGAAACCAATTGACCTGGGTAAGCGCCTAGAGATATTTGTATTAAGCGCTATATAAAAACGGAACATTGTTATTATCATTCATAGGTGTGAGGTTTCAATATGGGACTCTGATGATGCCGTCCCCCAAGATGTCCTTCTCAAGACCGTGCCAGGGATCAGTGGTCTCTACTGTCTCCTGTCTGATCGTATCGATGCTGCAGTCATAGATGCGGCTGGACCGGGTTTAAAGGCCATCAGCACCCTCTCTGTAGGCTATGATCACATCAACCTGGACGAATGCAGGAAGAGGTGGGTCGAAGAATGGAGTTTACAGTTTCTAAATACATCCAGGACCTACATGCATGTAGTCTTGTAATTGGTTTTTACAGATGTGTATCAGTCAGATATGACTATATTGATGTTTGATGATTTAGTTGTAAGTTCTAACATCGAATATCAAATCTGAGGTCCGTCAGAGTCGATTTGTTGGCAAAGAAAAAGATCTGACCCTTGATGTATTATGTACCTCTTAACCACCTTGCATTAATTGTGCTGTATTATATTGTTTTGTCGGTAGTGAGGATAAGTGTCCTAATAAGGGAACAGCGAAAAGAAATCTCAAAGGGAATCTGAGGGATGTTTACTTAACATTCACTTAATATAACATTCAGATAAAGTTTGGCGTAAAACCAGTCGATATACATGTATGAGCAAGGTTATTCCCCCCCCCCACCCTTCAAAAGAGAAAAAAGAAAAACAAGTATTTTCTAAATTGAATTTGTGTATACATGTGTATTAGCAGCCACTTTTGCCCTCTTGCCTATCAAATGGACGTAAAATTATCATATCTTTTTGGAAGCTTTCCATTCTACAATTAACGTTTCCCAAGCATTCAGAGATAGATGAATACACTCTGTCAGACAGGAATGTCTTCAATTAGAAGCTTGAACATTTTCAATGATTGTTTGTATTTCTTATCTTTTAGAGGGATCCGTATAGGTTATACCCCAGGTATTCTGACTGATGCTACGGCCGAGCTTACTGTAGGTCTCCTATTAACAACATCGAGGAGACTTGCCGAGGGTGTCACCAATGTCAAAAAGTAAGTCATAGTTACATTTATCTAGATCATCTAGACTAGGTGTAACAAATTAAAAACTATGTAGAAATTCTTGTCATTAAAAAAAAAAAATAACCAAAAAAACTATTATAAGAAAGTTAGTTGAACAAAATAAAAGCCTGAAAGTGGTCATTCTGGAATAACATGATGTATTGTATATTTTAGCACTGGAGAAAATATTGGGTGATCCAATCCAGAGCAATTTAATTTTTCAGATTTGTATAGGTCTAAATTGCTCTCTATTTCTTTTATTTTGTAATATTTTTTATTGTTGTTTGTAGTGGAGGTTGGGGTACATGGAAGCCCATGTGGCTCACAGGACCAGGTCTTCTTAACAGCACAGTGGGTCTCGTTGGACTAGGCAGGATAGGCATGGCAATCGCCCAGCGTCTCAAGCCGTTCAGGGTCAAGAGGTTCCTCTACAGTGGCAACAACAAGAAACCGAAAGCAGATAGTCTGCCGGCTGAATTTGGTAAGTCATAGAGGTTGCGGTCTAAACATTACTCTGCAGTCAGTTTTCTCACGCTAGCAGAATGCCTTCAGCTCACTTCAAGTTTCCTAGATATCTCACACTAAAATCCTTGTAACCTTAACTTATAAGTTCAGTTCAAGAGAAATCATAACTCTAACACTAATCTATACTTTGTGATGAGAATAAATAATTTTTTTTTATTTAATTCCAGATGAACTTTCAACTCTCAGTTCATGTTGCAAAACAACTTGAGATAGGTCTCATGTAGAGTTTCTTATACCGGTATATCAGCACCTCTAACTAAAAGAGAATTTTAAAAAAACTGCCAGTAAATGTAGAATGAACTCGATAGCATTTAGCTATTGTAAGTGGCACATACTCTTACCTCTCATTGAGAGCAGTTTTATAAACCTGATGCTACAGTAGTTTTAAAGGGATCCGGTAACTTTGTCTCAGATTCTGAAACAAAATCCTGGATTTAGCTCATGATGCAATGATAATTATAAACCTTTAGGTCAGTCAGGAACCCCATGACTTTTACAAGCCGATCGCCTGTCTGATTATCAAGATATTTATGATTGGAATTATAAATTTTGAAAACCGTTCGCCTGACGGTTTTCATAACACTACAGTCTATTGGGGAAAACGAGTATGGTAAAACCGGTCACTCAATGATTTTTACTTTTTTGAGGCACTTCTTGATCATTTTGAAGCGCAATTTTTTTAGGGCTTCAATATTACACCATATCACAGACACTGATAACACGTAGGGCCGTGTATATCAGATTTAACATTGTTAAACGATCCCTTTAATGTGAGATTGGGTACGAATTGTTGGAATTATGTTTTCTCATATTCCTTGTAAAATATTTTTTTTATATAATTTTTTGTTTAGTATACAAGACCCACAGCAAAGGGTCAGTGTACAAGTAAATGAATACTGTTTTGCCAAGACACACACATTGTGTTAATGCACAAAGTACATTCTTAGTGTTATAAAGTGAGTCGTTAACTAGGTGAAAAGTCGCTCACATATTTGTTTCTGTACATGATTAAAAAAAAAAATCAGTGTGCCCTTTGAGGTAATTGTATGTGTAATCTTGGGAGCAGTGCAAGAAAAATCTCACTTGGTTTGAATGTTGTGATTGTTCATATGTTTGTTACATTGTACAGTTTATGATGTTTTAACTCTTTATACGATACACCAATAATACAGGTGCCATGTTGTATAATTAATCATGGGATAGATAACCAAGAGATTCAAGATTATTCAACTGTTTCCAGTGCAAGATTAATCTATACCACTATGTTTAGGTGAAGTTGTTAATGGGAACTAGAATTTAGCACAAGTGCTAGTCGAGCCTAGTTCCATTCTTTGGCAAGATTTTTTTCTGTTAATTTGTTTTTACATATGAATGTAAAACTTGTTTGTTTTGTATTTACATATATCACTATAAATAATACGCTAAGACTCCGCGGGGGGCATGACGTCTCCGCGAGCCTTTGTATTCTATTGTTTTTTAATGAGATCGCCGACCAAAGTTGGTGCAGCTATCTCCTCCTGAACCCTCCCCTCGGGGTACTGGTGCCCGGTGCCATCGTCCGCAGGAGAGTCTACTCTGTGGAATTGGCTATACTCGGCCCGAGGTCCTCCTCCGTGTCGACGTCCAGGGCGAAAACAGACGCGATATGCATAATGCATGATATGCGTGACAACAGAGATACCTCATGCATATTCAACATTACATCCGTATCAAAGAGACACATAACAGATGACCATCAACTCACATTATGTTGCGTATTAAATGCTCTATGCAAAGGGCGGGATTACCCCCGAGTAAGCCATCTTGCTATAGGGTGTGCTTTGTACTAGCTGCACAAGCCAGTGAGATACACGGGGCTAATTCCCGTCGATGTCCAAACTTAGAGACCTATTTCCATCATGATTGCCACGATTTTTATATAGTTTTCGTGAATGGAGGTATGAAATCAAAGCTTATTTTGTGATTATTACGGCCATGTATACTGAATTTTGATTATCATTTTCTAAAGGAAAGTTTTCACAAGAAAACCATTGGACTGACAGTTCAGTCGCAAGCTAACTTCAGTCAACACACGTACAGTATACACGGTGCTGCGGCCGGGGCCGGGGCCGGGGCGCTTTGACTGAGCTGCGCTAGAGTCGAAGAGTATGGGGGGCCAAGCAGGCCAATATTCGTACAACTATACAATTACACATACGTCTATCCATCCATCGAAGAACCCGTCAACACAACAGCGTCGGGCCGAAGTGCCATAAATTTGTTTCTTATATTTACAGTAAATGACAAGAAAGCATTAAATAAGGTTATGAATTGTACATTTGCATATTAATAGTTCAATATCAACCAGACAGAAGCATGTGACTTCATGCATTGCAAAATTACAATCAGTTGCGTAATGAGTAAAATTGTTGGGGGGGGGGGGGTGCAGAAAAAAATCTGCATCACCATGCACCATTCTTGCATGTTACATGAAGGCTCCTAGAAACGTTTTTCAAAGTGGGGGGGGGGGGGGGGTCAGATCGCAGCGGGTTGAGTGTATATAGGCGTGGGGTCCACGGGTTTCAAGGGGCTATAAACCCCCGAAAGCTCAGGGGTTTTAGGCATTTAATTAGGGTCAGATAAGTATATTTTTATGCCTCCGCCACCGAAGGTGGTGCCGGAGGCATCATGTTTTCGGGTTGTCCGTCCGTACGTCCGTACGTCCGTCCCGTTTGACCGTTATCACAATATCTCAAGAACCATTTAAGATTAAAACTTAAGACTCGGGAATAGTATTTATCACCATAGGAAGACGATCTGATTAGATTTTGGAGTACGTAGGTCAAAGGTCACAGGTCACAGAGGTCAACTTATGAAATTCCTTGTATTGAGTTTGTTAGCGCGATATCTCAAGAACCATTTGAGATTTAAACTTCAAACTTAAGGATAGTATGTATCACCATAGGAAGACGATCTGATTAGATTTTGGAGCACGTATGTCAAAGGTCAAGGGTCACAGAGGTCAACTTATGAAATTCCATACATTGAGATTGTTATCATGATATCTCCCCATAGGAAAGAAATGAGCCTGCCGCATACTCCTGCGGCAGACTTGCCGCAGATCTGCAGCAGACCTGCCGCAGACAGTCATCTTTTTCACATGCAAATTAGTTTTGCCGCAGACTTGCCGCAGACTTGCCGCATACTCTTTCAGTATGATGAAGAGTCTGCGGCAGGTCTGCCGCAGACTTGCCACATACTCTTTCAGTATGATGAAGAGTCTGCGGCAGGTCTGCCGCAGACTTGCTGCAGACTTGCCGCATACTCTTTCAGTATGATGAAGAGTCTGCAGCAGGTCTGCCGCAGACTTGCTGCAGACCTGCCGCAGACTCTTCGTCATGAATATTCATATCTCATATAGACCTGCTGCAGACCTGCCGCATACTATTCATATCCAGTACGTGGCAATAAAGTATGCATGTAGAAGAACCAGTGATAAACTGATTGATACTTCATAATCGATATTACCAATTAGGTAATACCAATATATATATATATATTACCGATTAGGTATATTCTATTCTCAATTGTATTAACTTCATCACATTGATCATTTGAAGTGTATTCAAGAGTAACATTTAAAGTGACACAGGCTCGTACACATATATATACTAAATATGTATATTGTTTCTTGGTTAGTAATCATAGTTTCTTGGTTAGTAATCAATATATCTATTGCTTAAACGTGAATGTAATTGTAACATGATCAGACAAAATAATCTATTGGTTAATAATGGCAAAAGGAAAATAGAAATCACAAAAATGATGTGCATTGTCTTAATTTGCTTAACAAATCATGATAAATGTATTTTTCTGTCACACGTGTAAAGTAATAATGAATATGCATGAGATGATTGGTTTCAATTGGCCCTATTAGACTTTAATGGGATTTCCTGTGGCAGACCTGCCGCAGACTGTCCCTGTGGCGTACTGGTATGCGGCAAGTCTGGAGCAAAGTTTCGCCCTGCCGCAGATCTGCCGCAGACTGTTCCTGTGGCATACTAGTATGCGGCAAGTCTGGAGCAAAGTTTCATCCTGCCGCAGATCTGCCGCAGACTGTTCCTGTGGCATACTAGTATGCGGCAAGTCTGCAGCAAAGTTTCATCCTGCCGCAGATCTGCCGCAGACTGTTCCTGTGGCATACTAGTATGCGGCAAGTCTGGAGCAAAGTTTCATCCTGCCGCAGATCTGCCGCAGACTGTTCCTGTGGCATACTAGTATGCGGCAAGTCTGGAGCAAAGTTTCATCCTGCCGCAGATCTGCCGCAGACTGTTCCTGTGGCATACTAGTATGCGGCAAGTCTGCAGCAAAGTTTCATCCTGCCGCAGATCTGCCGCAGACTGTTCCTGTGGCATACTAGTATGCGGCAAGTCTGGAGCAAAGTTTCATCCTGCCGCAGATCTGCCGCAGACTGTTCCTGTGGCATACTAGTATGCGGCAAGTCTGCAGCAAAATTTCATCCTGCCGCAGATCTGCCGCAGACTGTTCCTGTGGCATACTAGTATGCGGCAAGTCTGCAGCAAAATTTCATCCTGCCGCAGATCTGCCGCAGACTGTTCCTGTGGCATACTGGTATGCGGCAAGTCTGCAGCAAAATTTCTTTCTGCCGCATACTTCGGCATACTCTTTGCCGCAGACTAAAAGTCTGCGGCAGGTCTGCGGCAGGTCTGCGGCATACTTTTCACTTTCCTATGGGTCAAGAACCACTGGAGATTTAAACTTCAAACTTAGTGATAGTGTGTCACTATAGGAAAACAATCTGATTACATTTTGGAGCACGTAGGTCAAAGGTCAAGGGTCATAGAGGTCAACTTATGAAATTCCATACATTGAGATTGTTATCATGATATCTCAAGAACCACTGGAGATGTAAAAACTTCAAACTTAAGGATAGTATGTATCACCATAGGAAGACGATCTGATTAGATTTTGGAGCACGTAGGTCAAAGGTCAAGGGTCACAGAGGTCAACTTATGAAATTCCATACATTGAGATTGTTATGTGGACGCATTCTCATTAGAACTGACAGATGGATTACTATTTAACTCAGGAAATCTTGCAGAGCCAATGAACTGAGTAGATTTTAGGGTCATGAGGTCAAAGATCAAAGGGTCATATATGTATATGAGAAATTGCTTGTAATCACGATATTCTGAGAACATGTTAATGGATTACAATTGAACTTGAATTTGAAAAATTTCTTCCGTTTCGGTTTGTAAAATTGCTCTATGACGGAGGCATCATTTTCGACTGCGCGCAGTCGAATTCCATCTAGTTAATACTTTATTTGTGACACTGGCAGGTCACTAATTGGCGTGGGGTCCATACGAAGATTTGCGTAGTGTTGCGTACCAACTACGCTGGCTTACGTTACTATATGCTGAGGGACGCAAACAATTCAACATGTTTAATTTTTTCGCGTACTTTCGGTGTAGAAACTTGACACAGAAAGTACGCCTTTTTACGCAACACTACGCTACTGTACGCCATGCCTACGCAACAGTGCGCTACCCTACGCCAGATCGACAAAGCAGTAAAAGCTTTCCACACAGTAAGCAACCGTAAGCAATCATAAGCAAACCTGTACGCCAGCCTACGCATAACCTACGCAAGGACTACAGTGAAGCAACATTTTTCCATTAATACGCAGCCTAATTTATGCGTAGTCGGTACGCCACACTACGCAACTCTACGCAGTTCCAGTCTGAAATAGGCTTAAAGAATAACTACCGGTAGATTTTTTTTTTTATGAATGGCAAACAAAGTTCTTGGTGGTTTTAATTTAGAGAGTCTCTATATATCTATTTACACCCCTCGCCCCCCTCTAGAATCCCGCGGATTTCCGCGGGTCCTGCTAGTACAACAAAATAATACAATATCATGTAACTTTTTTTCTTTACTAAAATGAAAAAATAAAAATAAAAAAGCTTAAGCGTTAAAGCATTATAATGAAAGAAGACAAATCTTTGAAGAAATATAATCATACACATGTACGTACATGCACAAATCCTGTAAAAGCTTAAGGCCGCTATAATCGTTAACAAGGAAGTGTATACATATATAAAAGGAAGACGAGTAATATAAAAGGAAAAAACGAATGGGGATGGGATTGAGCCCACGTCATTTACATAGAAGGTAGGTAGAAAGATGTCTACGAAAAGATAACCAGTGTTAAAAGGGTTGTCATGAGCTAATCAAGACAGGAAATGGGTAATTTTGAAAAACCATTGTGTACTTGCACAAAGTAATCCTTCTGGCAATAGGTGCCTGTTGTTTTGTGCAAAATTGCATGTATGGCAAACGAGCAACCGTGCACAGTGGTGAAGAAAGCAGCCGAAGTGTTGCTGCATACAAAAAGTTATGACCTTATTTAATGATGTGTATATGAATGATGAACATGTTCCTCTTTATTTCCCCACAGTTTCCTTTGAGACCCTAGTGAAGGAGTCTGGTTTCGTGGTGGTTAGTTGCTCCCTCAACGCTCAGACCAAAGGGCTCTTCAACAAACAAGTCTTTGAGAAGATGAGCTCCAATGCTATCTTGGTCAACATTAGCAGGTGAGAGAAGAGGGGTTAATACACTGCAAAGAATTTGATTCCTTAAAATGCTAGAGCACTGCAGTGGACACCATGTTAAAGGCAGTGTGATAATAATGGAGCGCCAGAAGTGGCTATGTGCTAGACATATCACTATGCATGATTCCACTATCAGTATTACAGTCAAACCTGTCTTAGTGACCACCTGTCTGTAACGACCACCTGTCCATAACAACGACTTAATTAAAATCCCCCGTGAGATTTCTGTACACCAAGACCACCTGCCTAACGCGGCCAGCGGCCTCTCATTTTGTATTATTCATATTTTACTTGTTAAAACAATTTTTTTTGTTGCTGCTGTAAACAATTATGGACAATTCACACCCTAAATACCCCTTTAGTTTGCTTGACAAACCACAGCCCAAGAACTTTATGTATGTAGATTTAAATGTGGACCTCCATATTAATATTGTTATTGAGATAACTGAAAATCCAGATTACCATGCAATTCCAACTTTTCATTTAAAAACAAAATATCTCTAATTTTTCATTTGATGGTGGTTGCAGAGGAGCTGTTGTGAATCAGGATGACCTCCACGAGGCTTTGACCACTGGTCAGATCAGAGCAGCTGGTCTTGATGTGACCACTCCAGAACCTCTACCCACTGACCATCCACTCCTCAAACTCGATAACTGTGGTAAGTAGCCTACCCAGTTGTATCCATTCATACAGAGTTTCATGTGGGAGTGTTCACATAGGCATTGTTTTATACACATGAACCTATTGCACGGAGGCTGTCCACTCTTGTCCAGTGATACATACATGTAGTTCAACTCATAGCAGTTCAGGGTTTCCTAAAAGTCTAAATGAATCAGCTATTCCACTCTTTCATAATTAAAGGCAAAATTGAAAATGTGTATTAAATGAAACAGTGTGAATAAAAATCACAAAAAATTAACATTATACACAAAAATTGCAATTATAAACTTCACTCTGTGTTTTCAATTTAGAGGCTATAATGATGATGTTCAATTAAACTGCTCTTATTCATGAATGGTACAATATATATTGAAGCAATGGGCCGACCCCAGCAGTTTTTGCTCATTTATAAATTGTAATTCATAGCATTTTTCTGGATGAAAAAGGTGACACCAAGATGCTGGTTAATGGGGATGTGTTATGCTACAGTGTTGAGCTTTATCAATCCATGTACCGGTTTCTCTCAATTTAAAAAGGGCAAGATCAAAACCCTTTATAAGTAAATACCAGTTTCTATCAATTTGGAAAAGGCAAGTCTAAAAATCTAAGGCAACTTACTTATCTTTTGCAAAGGGCAAGGTTGAACCATAATGCTGTGCAATTTTAAAATCAATTTTTCTCTTCCTTGTTTTTCAGTTGTCTTTCCTCACATCGGCAATGCCTCAGAGGAGACAAGGATAGCCATGTCCATCCTCACGACACGGAACCTATTAGCCGGTCTCATGGGCGAAGAGATGCCAGAAGAGGTCCAATTGTAATGCAGGTCGGACTTAAAGGTATAGACCAGTTTTGGAAACGCCCCCCCCCCCCTCTCAAAAAATGAAATGGAAGCTCTTATTACCAATCATGTGAAAGAATATGTTTTGACTAATACGTGAGGATACAAATTTTGCCGGGAACCCGCCTACTAATTGATATATGTGGTACGTGTCGCGTAGTCCCATATACATCTTTCTGTGTACAGTGCTTGTAACTTTACCAAGACTGGACCAAATTTCTTAATCATTTTGATGATTCCACAACCTTGCAGTACACACCAATACTTATATGCTAGATGATCAACCTTTTCTGATAGCAGATCGATTCCACAATGTTTCTTTCACGATGCAATCGCATGACCAGAAGTCTTTTTCTTTAAAGTGTAACAATCACAAATTAATTTGTTTGTTTTATATGTTAGTTGTTCTATGTCGTAATACTGTTTTCAAAATATGACCTTCAAATAGTACTTCTAAAAAGAAATTTTGGAAGTTTAAATATACTCTCACTGATCAATCATAAAGGCAACTGGTCAGTAGAATACTGGACACACCTGTATAAGATAGGGCTTCTAGGATACTCAAGTTGGACTTGGGTTCCAGGTGCGCAGTTTTGTGTTAATCTCTGTTTTCGTCAAACTCCTTCACCCTGTGTTCTTTTATATGATTTTATACATTCTAGCTGTACAAAAATTGTGTTCTGTTAGGTGATTGGTACATGTACCAGTGAAATACAGACTGTTAACTACAGGCGTTACCACCGCAAGTGAAATAAATGTAGATTTTAATTGACTTTGCAGCTTTATAGGTTTTGTTGGCACTATGAAATGCTGCACTAGCCCCAGCAATAATAAAGGGCATCGTTTCACAAAACCACCATAAGTACAAGTTCACTGACATGCCATTGAAACACAGTATTTCAATGGGTTGTTGTGGAACTTGTACGGTCTTGTGAAACGCTATCCAGGTATGTAAATTGAAAGTGACAAGCTCTACACTTAGTGATGGTATTCTGTGAGAGGGTATTCTTTATAGCAAGGTAGTAGAAAAAAAGCAGCTGAAAACTATTTATTGCTGATCTGAAGAGAAAGATATGCCTACATCTTAGTTTTCATGAATAATCAAATTCTTTATGAATATTACATAATTTTTTGTAAGCAAATATACGAATTGATCAATCTGAGAGAAAGCATATTTACAAACACTGAGAACCTAGGATACCATCTGCTGAGCTGAAAACTAATCATGTAAAAATCTAGATAATCAAACGTCAAACGATATGCATTTCTTTTAGAAAAGATGTCTAAATTCACTACATTTGTTTGGTAAATATGTCTGATGTGTTTGTGTATTATTTTCAATTTTTGAAGGCTACCTAAAAGGCTTGTTACCCTTTGTTGTTGTATTCATGCATGCAGGGATTATATCTCAAATATTATAACATATTGTTATTACAGGGTAGAACCAGCCAGACACAAAGTGTCAATAGCTCAAATTATTTGTAGGTCTCTAAAGAAATTATTTCTTGAGTTTCATTAATTATGATCCAGCCATTCTCAAGTGCTGCTACAGTAAGACAATTTCCAGAGCTTTATCTTGTAGAATAAGTTCATCAAAAATAGATCAGAGAAGCAAGGTCATTATTTATCAGGGAGCTCTGTACAGTGTGTGAGGAAAGTACCCTGTATGTTATATTTTTCAGGACTTTCTGTAATGGTGCTTGGTATAGGTAGTGTGTAATTTGTTGGCGATGTTTGATAATTATTTATAATTAATTTTGTGTGTATACTGTTGTATATTCAAGGGAAAATAAATGCAAAGGGCAATTTGTCCCCCTGAACTCACAAAAAGCCCCATCGATGGAAAAGAGCCTTTGTTAAAAACAAAGAAACAAAACAAAAATTCTATAAACTGCTGCATCTACAGTTCACGGAAAGAGAATCCATGATTACATAATCATTACAAATGATACATTATTGTAAAGGGATATATACATGTAAGCAGGCTTTTGAATGATACTAACGTCAAATACGTTTTTAGTAACAACAGAGATATCAATGCTCAAACGAGGTCTGGAGTGGCAGAACTTTTTAGATTTGAGGAGTTTAAATACATGTATTTATACCAAAGATGTGTTGCTTGATGTACAAATGATACATGTTAACTGGACAATGTGCACATGAAATAAATAGTAATAAAGGTCTTTATCAAAATTACTGTTTCGAGTGTCTTCTTTTTGAATGGTTATATAGGTTACACACATTAGTTGACAGGAAAGAATCAATTTAGCTCATATATTTTTATGTTCAATGATTTTTCTTCCTATTCTCATAAATACAGTTGACTCTGCATTTAACTAGCTCAAGTCAAATTTTCCATAAGGCGACCAAATAGATTTGATTTGTGTAGATTTAGCACCTGGGTGAAGAGAAGAAATTTGGATAAAATGTCTTGCTCAAGGACATGAGGCTGCATAATTATAGAGGGAAGGTTGATCCTACATGTAGAAATATACATATACATGTATCACTCACTATGAACATGACCGACAAAGAAAGCGGACAAAATATACAGTTCCTCAGGTAGACAAAGGAACGTCCCTTCACTGCCATTATGTAAAAAGGTGAATATGCATGTGACCCCTGTTCTACACATTTTTACATAATAGCAGTGAAGGGATGTTCCTTTGTCTATCTGAGGAACTGTATATTTTGTCCGCTTTCTTTGTCCGTCATATTCATAGTGTATGAGAAGGTTGAGTTCTGGGGAGAGGTGAAAATACTTTGTGTCCGTTATCATTCTTATTATGCAAGTGTGGAACAACAGAAAAAAAATGTTCCCTGAAAAGCATGGCTCTTAAAATACCTTTATATTTTAAATATGACAAGTAACAGCTAAAAAACGAGGACCAATTTTTGTACTGTGCTCGCTACTTAACCAAGACTGCGTCAAATTTCCTTTCATTTTGATGACTCCAGAACCTTGCAGTACACACCAATACTATGCTACATGATCAACTTTTTCTGATCGATTCCACAACGTTTCTTTCACAATGCAATATATCGCATGACCAGAACTCAATTGAGAGCACTTTTTGTAAATTAATTTCTGATGTACATATCCATGCTTGTATATCCCTTTATACAGTCAATGTGCATGTAAATACCCGTACCTGTATTTCTGTGACATAAATTCACATAAAACTTTGCATAGAAATGGACAATAAATCAACAAGAAACACAGAAGATCCAAGACTTTTGTGACTTTCAATTTTATTAAATTGCACTCTCCGCTTTCTAAACCCTGTACCTCATGATACACATACATTAAAAATATGTAGCATATAAATTGACTGCTATCTATTCTTTCTTTATATTACAAGCAACAAAAAAGAGAACAATTACCAATTAAAATGTACTTTCATTTTAAAAGTATTTATACAAAGAAGAGTCTTCCATTTTACTGCAAAAATGTAATTCTAGCATATCTGTTCATGAATTCCTATTTTTTAAAATTCATTCAATAAAATATATAACTCTGGTGCCTCTCCTATCAACTCTACTGTAAATAACTCATTAGTAGTGTGAAGAATATAAAGCACACATTATGTGTAAGAAATAACTGAAAACTGGCTGTTGTGAGTTTGTGACAAATAGTGATGAGAAGCGGTAAAGAGCCACGTTGGCTGAAAATGAGAAAGAGGAGAGGGCCTCAGATATTCAAACATTCTGACAAGAGTTGTTAATATACAAACAAACAAAATTGTATTTTTCTTTTGTAATGCTTGATATCAGTTCAGACTGTACATCGCTGAAATAAATCTGAATGAGAATGTCTCACTCGATCTCACACCCCTCTACAGAACTAAATATATAAGAGCTTGACAAGTCTGGTAATAATAGAAATGACAAAATGAGAGATAGAGAGAGAGAGAGAGAGAGAGAGAGAGAGAGGGAGAGGGGGGGGGGGGTGGTGGTGGTGCTTATATGTACATCCAGAGAGCAGATAGAAATAAGTAATGAGTTAGGAAAGGAGAGACAGCACTATATACGAAGAAACAAGAAAGAGAGAGTACGTCGAAGGGTAAATTTACTCTTCACCAAATACTGCATATATTTTAAAGTAGGCCTGCATGTACTTCATTGGCTTCTTTTGAAAGTTTGCAATAATTCCAAATTCAAAAGTGCAATTCTAAAGTTATCTGTTGACATTTGAAATGGCATGAGATATTTGAAGGCACAGTGTGGTGCGATCACAGTGAAATGTTTGTGAGAGTTGAGGCTGGTCTTCGTAAATACATGAATATATAATCTCCTTATGTAACTTTCATATATATAAACACAAACAGTATTCCTCTTCCGTGTACTAAATATTATAAAACTACTCATATTCCAGATTCAATGTTTCATGTTAACAACAACGACTTAGAAAAGTAAAAGTTAAAATAATAAGAAATAGATTTTTTCCCTTCATTTTCATGCTTGATAATGTAAAAATTCGTTAAAAGGGATATAAGTTACATCTACATACTATGTACATACCGGTATGTATATGAATATGTACATGCCCATGTTATGGCAATTAAAAATACATTTTTAATAATTTGAATATATAGCGAGGCACGATGGCTCAGTGGCCGGTAGAGCAGTGGTTCGTTCCGGGAGGTTCCGGATTCAAAACCAGGTTGATGCGCTAGAGCCCTTTGATATAAAAGTATTAATCCTCATTACCAGAGAGGACTTAAAGCCATAGGTTCCCTGGTTGCTTACTTTTAATACATGCATACGCAGGCTTTCTTAGCAGTAGGGTTAAACAAACAAACAAAAATAACATATACATTGAGTACACTTACATGCATGGACACAAATACAGAAAAATGTTCTGACAAAAGATTCTTTGAGTTAAATATTTTTCCCTCGGTAAGATGATGGTATGAAACTCTTGGCATTAACTGGCTTGACATTTCATACTACCGTAATTAACGTTGTATAAACTGCCCTCGTGTATTAACCGCACCACTCTTTTTCGCCGACTTTTTTTTTTGCCGACTTTCTTTTTGCCGACTTAAAAAACAGTAGAGGACCTAGGATAGAACCTTGTGGTACGCCGTGTAATAGAAGAAAAACTGGAGGAATTATTATTATAAACTACATATTGAAATCTATCAGAAAGATTACTTTCAAACCAAGATGACAGACAAATTTGAGCGTTGTTCTAGTTTCCAAGTGGTGAGTCAACACACCGATTACTGAGCTGGGAGACATTGCCAGGCATAGCGCCAGGTGGAGGGGAATAAATTGAAACTTTTTTTTTTTGGTGTACCATGTATAAACCGCACCCCGGACTTTGAATTTTTTTTTTGGCGGCAAAAAGGTGCGGTTATTACACCGTTAATTACGGTAACTTCTTGGCTATAAATAGTTCCAATGGAATTTTAAAAAATTGAATAAAGTCATTACTATATAGATAACGTTACACCCTCTCACATCATACTGGTATTCATTAGACATTCAAAATCTCTGCTATATAGTTTCGGGTTTGGGCCAAAATGAAATAACTTCATTTACCTTTGCTAACGCATTTTATTTCTATCAAAAATTATTTTACAACAATAAGTAAGAATGGAATACATACAGTGAAATTAATATTCAAATTTGCCTTCATTGTTTACGAATAAGGAACAAAATGAGGAATGATTTTCTTAGTACAGTACTAACAAGAAAATACTTTGTGGCAGGTTCCTTCCACAATCAGAATAATACATAAAATAATTTTAAAAGAACATATTTCTTTTGATTAGATGAAACTTACTAAAACACAATTATACTGGTTTTGTTTTATAAAAGCTAAAAACATCCCAAAGTGTACAGATTTTTGTTGTTTTTGTTTTAGTATAAAAAAGAAGGAACATATTTATGTACATGATATGCTATTGGGTGATGATGTAATGATTTATTATTCCATTAAAGAAACCAAAATCATAATTTCAATTTCATAATAAAAACAAGTTAAATCATTTTACAATATCTTAATTCAAACTATCATTAAAAAAAATTAAAGAAAAATATAATTACTGTTACATCATATTTACATTGTTTATTTACGAGTGTGCCCATCCCTAGGTAAACTAAAACTTAGATTAAAAAGAAGATATGGTGAAAAGACTTGCCCAAAAAGGTGGGGCAAAGAGAACTAGTATCAGTACTTTGAGATCTATTATTATCATAAAACCCTCAGAAAAAGTTTGTAAACTTAATTTTGATTGATTATATATACATTCTCTATGACCTGTAGCTCTCTATACTTACATATACATGTACATGAATTGCAACACAAGAACTGTCTTAATCAATTTGATGTCATTTTCAATTTCTCATTATATATGTGATGAATAGTCATTTGTAATACTCCACAGAGAAACATGCATACTGAGCGTGAACATTACAGATATTAATGCAGACATTGCTATGCATCAAACCAGATTAAAAATACAGAACAGAAATTAGAGGGAAAAGTCGGACAATATGATATTTGTCCATCACAAATTGTTTGAATATTGTAGAAGAGTAAGTGTGTCAAAATTAAGTAAATTATATAAATAATAGAAGGTTTGGCTTGCACTATTACTAAATTAAGCTCTAGATATGACAGGAAGGAAAAGAAACAAAACAATAAATACATACCATAATATATATGTGTACACCACACTGTACATTAGGAATGTAATTTTACTTGCACAATCATATATCATTCACCTTCTAAAAAATATATACATCAACGTAGTATGCAAAAATAATCTCATATCATTCCAATATCTATTTTACCTTAGTATTGCAAATGAAATCAAATCGGAGATGGCAAAAATGTGAGTGAATATATTATCTCTTCACCAATAAATACATAATTTACAAAATATGTACATGTACACAGCGATTGAAGTAGACTGTGCTAGTACAATAAGGCGAGAATCACGGACAGGTACTTTGGTAAATATTTGTGAAAGACGTACCTACACATGTATGAGTAAAAGACAATTACTTTACTTCTACATTTCATCTGCTTGAGTGCAAGAAGGACGTTAACTGGTACACCCTATCAACATCTTTCTGGCTCTAAGCGATAAATTTCTCTTTCCTTTTTACATGCGATCTGTTTGGGGAGCTAGAAGGGCATTAACTCATTTTACACAGAGTTAATTACTGGGAAATCCCCTTTTGTCTCTGAAAATATGATATTATGTATTTGGAGCCAGAAGGTCATTATCTCATCATTTTACACAGAGTCCACGGCGCACGCCCTTCTGGCTCCAAACAGACAAAGTGCTTCTATTCATAGTTGTAATAAACCATTGCTGTTGAGATACTGTGATAATACTTCCATTAAATGCATCTTTTAAGCTCTCATTACACCATTTAGTATAGTGAATAACAATACAAGGAACTTATGATTATGTGCAACCTGAAAAATAGTCCTTTTTTCATTTGATAGTTGCATTTAAACGTCAAAAATGAATATATTAGTTTGGTACCCATATTAAGTGATAAGTAGATTGAGGAATAAAACTATAACCAAAAAGGACATTGTTGATGTGTTTAAATAAGGATATAGGTCTTGTATCTGTGAACAGTTTTTCAAAGAAATGTGCCTTGTCAATTACACATTGGTTCAAGACAAGGAGTCATTAAAGTACAAAGTTTTGATAAATAGAATAGAAACAAAGGCAAGCAAGATGGCTCGGTAAATTGAAATGAGAGATAAATAACTCTATAAATAGATCTATTGCAACAACTTTAGGGCCCATTAGATAAAATGTCTTTTCATTTTTTGAAGGGCAATAAGTCATAGAGCAAGAGTAAGCTATGGATTGAATAAGTTAATAGAATATCCTATGTCATTATAGGGCATTTAATATAGGCAAGAAATTAGATGATAAAGTGAGTACATAAGCAGGACAAAATGGTAAAGATCTATCATTTTGAATACAAATATTAAGAATAGAGCATGGAAATCTAGCAATGAAAACCAGATATTTATTGGTCATCTTTAATTTATCTTCATCCCTTCAATAACAAACCAAAGAATAGCACACTTACTTGTCTATCTTTCAATTTAAAGATAATACTTCAGATTCATTTTGAAAATTATTCAGAGGAGCTACAAAGTCATGCTTACATTATTTCAAGTATTTTTAAAAATAAAGCAAAGGGACTGATAATAAATGATTCATTATTTACTGGTGAATAACAAACGAAACAAGAGGTACGCTAGAAAGTACATGTTTTTGTAATATAGTGCATATACACATAGGAATTAATATATCATGAATTTCTTAGGATTTACTCATTCTTTTATCTATTTAATAGTCACTGCTACGAAAGATACTTATTGCACTAACCTAAATGGCACTGCGAATGTATGGTGTAAACTTGGTCTTAATTGCTTTTCAAGATAAATCCCTATTCTTGATTTATTTTTGTAATGCTACAAATAAAGAAAAAAGTGGATTATGACCCTGTTTAAAATATAGTTAGGTATATTCATATCAGCAACATACTCTGCTGCTTAATACAAAGAGGAATACAAATGAAATGGTTTTACAACCATGAACTAGTTCCTCTGTAATGGAGAAGCTCTTTTTTCATGAAACATGCAATAACATTTCACAAAACTTGTCATCAGTGACAAATGACAGTTTTTTTTAAGCTACTGAAACCCTTGCTTCTGTTTGGTTATCAGCAGATTTGTCACTGATTTTTGTCATTTGTCATTAAAATAAGGCTTTGTGAAATGGGTCCTATAGGTCTATTGTCAAGTGTCAGGCACAAAGGAATTTACAAGGGAATTTCCCCTCACAAACTATTAGGAATGCTCTTGTTATAAAGACCTTCAATTGAGCAAACAGAGATAATTTTTAATGCACAGAAAAGTGCTTATTAGAATTTATCCAGATGAAGAGACATTTATAAAATTGCTGCATTTCAAGAATTCAATCTGTTTAAAAGCATCCTGCAATAGACTTGCAGCATGATTAAATCGTAACATCTGGAAGGGTTCCTCAAAGGTTTGTTGTCATTACATCACTGGCTTCCCACTGTTCAGATGATAGATCATTCTCTTGTAGTGATTCGCTGGTCCCAGACATCCCTGAAACATCAATATCCTGTGGAGTCACGTCATAGGAGGAGTTTAGTACGGGTGCAGCCCTCCTTGGGTTCGGGGGAGTGCTGGAGGGAGAGACGGTGTACGTGTAGGAAGATATCTCTGATGCTGGGACGAGCGGGGTGAACTGGTCATCCAGGAACTCATCGAGAATCTTATCGCTGCTGTTCTCTTCATCGCTGTTGGGCGGGATGTTCCCAAAGGCACCGGGGCGTTTCATCTTTGGGGCGACCGGAGGGGGCACCTTAATGGGGGTGCTAGCGGCGCTGCCCTTCTTGGCCCCTCGATCCAAGGACTGGTGTCCGCTGTCGATGGAGCTCGGTCGGGAGTCAGCTCGCCCCATCCGGAGGAGATGGACGTCATTGTGGGTCTGAGAGTCGGCTAGACTGCCGGGGTAGGGCTTCCGAGGGTCAAAGGTCCCTGACGGGGAGGTTGATTTAGATGGGATGGATGGAGTAGAGGCCTCAGAGTTCGTATATGAGCGATCCTAATATAACAAATTAAATCAGAAAACAAAGTTCAGAAAATAAATAGTAGTATATAGCAAAATATGATAAATGTTAATAACATTATCTTGAAACAAGGGCATAATACATTATTTTTTCTGCATCATTTGAAAATTTAATTGTTTACTAAGAAAACAATATACAAGTTGCTTCATATACAAAATGAATTACAAATTGAAAGATAAAAAAAGGAAATGGCATAATTTGAGTATAATCAAAACAATTGTTTCACAAAAGTTAACTTGGGTATGTGAGACAAGACAGTTGGTACAAACATACTTATAGAATTGATGATAATACCATAAATACTTTAGATCTTCTTTTCCTCAAACAATTATTTGATGGATACATTGGACAGCAATTTTTCAAAGGAAATGTTAGAAAGTGGTGAAATTTGGAGAAACAATGAATTAGAAATAGTTCAATTAAAGAAATCTTGAAATGAGTAAATTCACAGCTGTTAGGTTCAGAGTAAAAAGGTGTGGCTCTAGAATGCAGAATATTGGTAGTGAAATTGAATTAGGAAAAATAATGTATTGCTTGAAAAAGAACAAAAGAACAAAGGATAAACTGTGCCTCAATGTATTTCACTGATACGTGGTGTACTTCTCCCATTTAGTCACTTAACCGTTCTTGGAATTTTCTATAGGCATTTTGGGCAATGGTTTTATACAAGGATGTTATCGATAAATATCAAGCGTCACATACTGAACGCAATCTTACAAAAAATGTTTGAGTAAAAAACGATCTACTAGTCAAGAAAAAGTCAATTGTATTGCCTGCAATTATGGGGTGTATGATAACTGCACTACAACGTTTTAAAATTACAAGAAATCATCTAAATTGTAGATTGTGCTTTACCAATAACTTATATTCTGATTTTTTTTTCTTTGACGAAATGTATTTTCAAAATCAAGAACTTAATTCCTGAAAAGGTACATGACTTCTTGAATAAGATAGAGACCTATTTTGTTTAATTTGAATTCAAACATATCAACACGTACTGCATGGTTTTACCAAACCTTTACAAAACTGGATCTGACATACATGTACAATGAAGGTGTGCCTATTTTATTTGGTTTTCCTATTTTATTGAGACACCATGTAGACTACATGAAAGTGCAGAGAACTTACAAAAACAGAAAGTTGAAGCTAAAAGATCAAGATGATGGGAGGCAGATGACCTAGATCAGCTGACACGTGAATGACCCCCAGAGCATGATGGTGGAAGGTTAAAGGTCAAAGGTCACAGGGTGGGTATATGTAAAAGATTGGAGTTCGGTATATATTTTCATTTTTAGTGATGAAGATGAGATGAAAAAGTGATTAGAATTTGTAAGAGATGATCAGAGATGTATGTCAAATAGATAATAAGATGGTAGGAAAAGAAAGAGGTCTCAATCCATTTTCCAAGCAGCAAATTGAGTCGTGTGGATTTTGACATTGTTTTAGATTAGCATGAATACAAAAGTTGCATGATGTAAAGTTAAATTCAATGTTATTCAAAACAACATGAAAGAAAGAGTAAAACAGAATAGTTTGTGTATCATTGTATATAGTTGGATATTGACATTGTTTAAAAATAGCATGAATACCATCAATACAAAAGTTGGATTATGAAAATTAGAATCAAGGAAATATTTTGATCAGAGAGAGAGAGAGAGAGAGAATCAGAATAATTTGTGTATGTGAGTGAAATGTGAATTGCAAGGTGGTATTTAGGAAGGATGGGAAAGAGAGAAAAAAAAGATAAAAGATTAGCATAATTTTCCCATCTCAAAGAAACAAGGCATATGCCCAAAGAACCAGAGAAAATATGGATAATTATATAACAGCTCTGTACAGGCCAATGACAAAATAACAACATGAATATATTTATCAGTCGCAAACATAGACATGTGCTAACAGTGCTACATAAACTTAACAATGGAACTGTAAAACTTGAGAATCAATAAATTGATTATATTAATATTTGTAAAGTAAAGAAAATTTAAACCCCAAAATATCAATATATCTAAAATTTCAAGTTGAATCAAACTGTTTTTGACTTTTTAAAAATTTGATGAATTAATCTTTAGTTAGATATTTTAATTCATTAATATTTGATTTATAAATTCATCTTCATTGAAAAATTCCTGACATTAAAGTATTAAGCAAGAACATTAAAGTACCAGAAATCTCAACAACAATTTTAAGCACATCAAAGTTTTTAAAAAAATCCCAGCAAATTCAGTAAACATTGAACACATTAATTTGCTTGATTACATAAAAACTCTTTCTACTAATGCTCAGAGTACAGAATCAATTTACAACAAGTCATTTTCTTTACTTTTATCAATTGTACTCAAAACACCCAGAAGGAAACCAGAAGAAAAGAAAGGACACCAGAAGGAAAGAGAGGAAAAATAAGAAGAATGAAAAACAAGATGGACTTTTAGGGTGAGATCTTGTTTTGGGTAGGACTATACGCTACCAAGCCAACGTCATATCACCCTTTTTTAAAAACTATTAAAAAAAAAAGACATCCCTGCTTCATTTGTACTAGGAGCTGTGGTAAGAGGAGACATAATATAAATGTACTATATTAAACTAGATTAGACTAGCTTCGACAAGACTAGCTCCGACTCAAAAAGAGTAGACTAGAACTGACTTGACTCAAATAGAGTAGACTAGACTAGACTCAACTCAAATAGAGTAGACTAGACTAGACTTGACTCAAATGGACTAGATTGAACTGGACTAGGCTAGGCTAGGCTAGACGAGAACCTTGTCCTACATACCTCATCCCTGTCAATGAGGGGGTTGGACTTGGTCTGGTACGGTGAGGATGAGAGCTCCCTCTTGAGGTCCGGATCGTCATCCACCGAGAGGGCGTGGTTGGTGTACCCCGTCCCCGGGCTGAAGAAGGTCGAGGGGAGCTCTTCGGACCTGGAGTAGGCCGGGAGGGTTCCTTGATTGCTGTAGGAGGGCGAGTCCAGGTCCGCACTGCCGGGTAAAGTGGCTGTCATACCTCTATTAGTCAGGAATAAAAAAAAAATTAAGGGTAAAAACACTTTCAAGTATAAAATGTAAAGAACATTAAAGGTAATACAAAGTTTTGGTATGGGGTCATCAATTTGGTTCAAATGAACATATTGGAAGCATATACAATCCTACAATATTCAGTGATTGTTGTCGCGGTCGAAATCGACTCTAAAGTTATGAAATTGTAAATAATGAACACTTTATGTTGAATAGCTCCCTCTCAAGGTCAAGGTATTAATTATGCTATAAAACAATGTTTCTTGACTAAAATTGACCGATTAGCTATTCTCGTTCGGAAATTATATACCACAACTACATACTCTGAAATTTTCATGGTCGCAGCTACCATTGTACGGCCGTAGGAGCTATTTGAAATTTATCGTGTTTTAGGGGCTACAATTTCTGATGTTTTTAATACATCCACAATGGCATCCAAATATATTAAAATTGTCAAGAATCACTATCCACCCATTTTTCAAAATTTCCCAAAACTTTGTAATACCTTAAAGGTTTCTGTTGCATAATAAATCACTGAAAATATCTCAAACCCATAAAAATAATGACATTTTCTGGCAACAAAATACATATGGCACTGGGTTATGATACAGGAAGGTACACTTTGTTGATAACTTCCAAAACATATAGGAAGCTTATTAAACATAAATTCTTCAAGTATTATTACAACGTTAATTGTTTTTTCATCAATATTTGAAACTGAGTAGCAGAAGAACTACCACACAGCATTGCATCTCGAATCTCATTCTGTGTAGTGGTATCATGTACCACTCAAGTAGTCAAATTTGCTATCGACATGTACATGTATGCTTGGGACTATCAATGGTCACAAATGACTTTCTTTAATAAACAGAAACGGGATAGGTAAATTGCTTGTTCCTATAGAATGCACGTTTGTATTTTCTGTTCAATTTAACAAAAGAAAATTGAAAGCACTAGTTGTGGAACCAAGGTAGCTAGTCAATCTTGTTGATCTATAGCGCCCGCCCAAGGGAAACACAATAAGTGGTCTTTGTAGACAGGTTCCTTTAGTACATTTTTCAATGAGAAACCATTTTCAAGGGAAACACAAAAAGTAGTCTTTGTACACAGGTGGTCTGTGTAGACAGGTTCCTTTAGTACATGTTTCAATGAGAAACCATATTCAATGAAAACAAAAAAATGTGGTCTTTGAAGACAGGTGGTCACTATATCTACATGTATATCTATAAAGCACTTAGAAACATTTGTATTAAGCGCTATATCAAAGCGGAATATTATTATTATTATTATAAAGCAGGTTTGACTGCACATGTGAATGTTTGTCATCATACTGACAAACAACAAAGGGGTTGGTTCATGCAACTAAATCAAGATGAGATTGAGTCTAGCTACCTCATGAGATTATCCTCTGGCAAGGTACTGGTCCCAGCTAGGATGCTGTTAGCAACAGCCATAGCTTCCTCATCCTCAGGCCCAAACTCAAGAGTACGTTCCTATAAGGGAAATAGATTGATTGGTGGGTTGGGTTGAACAAAAAATGGGTGATTGTTCATCAACATATTAGTCATATCAATAATTCTGTAATATGTATATGGATTAATTAACCAATGCATGAATAAATGAATGAAATAATTAATAAATTAATCAATAAATCAATCAATGAATATTAAATAATTCAATTTTGTTCTTCAATGTATTCATTTACATAAATCAATAATTCAATAAATTGATTATTTATTCGTTAAAATCACTTATAGATTTCCATCTATCAATCAATTACTCAGTCAATCATATCTGTCAATAACCATTACAGCAATCAATTAATTCTTTATTATTCAACCAACCAGTCAATAAGTCAATCAATTAATCAACCAATCAATCAATAAAGCATTCAATTAATCTATCATTCATCCATTCAGCCATTTTCTCATTCATACCCTCTAAGAATAAGATGATTACGAATAAGGAGTAAAAGAATTAACGGGAGAGAAAAGAAGAAGCAAGAATAAAAAGACAGGGCTCACTCTAAAGGTAGAATGTTTAGTATTTTTCCAAGTTGATTTTTACCTGTGTTTCACCATCAAACTGCCCGTCAAGCTGGTCGCTCGCCAGAAAGCTAGGTGTACCACTAAAAGCAAAGAGATTAAATGAAGGCAATTTAAAGATGGTCTTTCTTGACATATCATTTTTTTTTCATAAATTAGCCCAAACATTTATCCTGATTGAGCTGATAGAAATATTGATATGTATAAATTGCTTGTAAAATAGTTCCACTACATTTCTTAAATTCTCAATGACGGTATATTACTATCAAGCAGAAAATATAACACCAAATATCTCCAAGTGAGATCCCCTCTCTTGTGGATGAATCAGTATAACATATTTGAATAACTGTATACTAATATATATATATTCAAATTTGAATAATTGCATAATGTTATTTGCTTGTCTACTAATCTACCAAAATGCTCTCTTTATCTGTCTTAAGTGTAGAAAATTATATCAGATTTGAGTGAATTCTTGTACTTGAAATGCTATATCTTTCTTCTCTATTCATACACATCGTAATGTTAAAACAAAAAATGGAATTAATTGGTTAGGAGCAAAAGGGGACAACATCAGAAAACAGGAGGGCATGCAATGTATTAGCAATGCATGAACATGCTACTTAATTAAAATAACTTTGTATTCACACTTACAGTACATAGCTGATTAGTATAATGTATAATATAGCTTTTATTCTTTTTGTAGGTGACATCCTTTTCATTTCCAAACGTTTCATATATTTTCTTATCCTCCTATAATTTTTCTTGCATCATTTTCCATTCCTAATTGCACCATTACCTTTCAGTATAAATATAATTATGCTTGATAAAAAGGGGACAAAAAAAATCATATCAGATTTTAAATAAATCCTAGTACTTGAGATTGTATATCTTCTACTCTATTCATACACGTTATGCTTGATATAAAACTCATTAAATAAGTGCACGATGTATATTTTATCACAGCTAGTGAATCGTGCAAGCATTGTTTTCTAGATGCAGAAAATTCTGTCTTGCATAATTTGTAAAATATTGCACTTACTTTGGAAACATATCATCGCCCCTGCAACCGGGAAGGACCAAAGAGAAGCAAATATCTTGTTTAATTAGCAAAGACATAACTGTATTTGCATAACATTTTAGAATTAAAAATAATAACATGCCCCAAAAAGTTGATTCAAGACAGACTGCTGCTGCCTTAAGTCATCTTTTTATCATGTTTTCTTAAAAATAAATGATTTCAATTCATTTGCAATGATCCATTGGAGCGCATAAATTGGGGAAATGGAAACAAACAAAAAAGAGAATGGGAAAAGAATGACATGAAGACAATTATCAAACTTTTGAGGGATTAATGGAAGAATTTATGCTTCACAAATTAATAACAAAGTAGGATACACTTGTAGAGATGAAAAAGATATAATATTTCAACAAAAAGGTACATGTTAATGTATAATCCAATATAAACAACAACATTCATGCCAAAAGCAGGAGAGGACTTTAGTTGGAAAATCTAGCTATAGAGGCAGAAATGAACATGCAATATAATCAGAAAAGCACTTTAAAAAACACTGTCCCTAACAACTAGTACCTAATTTAACCATGCATTTTGTTTTCTGTGGAGTTTCTTTCTTTTTTTTCAATAAAAAAAACATGCATTGGGTGAACCAGATATAAGGATTACATAGACTACATGTATATTACTTTTCCGCTCAACAGAATTACCATTTTTTTTAATTTAAATTTTTAAACTTTCACTTATATTTTCTTAGGAGTAAGCATTGGGTCAAGCAACAGATACTAAAGAATACTAAACCTTTACGACTCTTCTGAATTACTATATGCTATTTGGGATTTCTTGAATTTCAATTTTTTTTAAACTTTTACTTATATTTTCTTAGGGGTAAGCTTTGGGTCAAGCAACAGATACTAAGAATAAACAACCTTTACCATTCTACTGAATTACCAAATGCAATTTGAGATTTCTTGGGGTTTTTTTTATTAAATTTTTTTAACTTTCATTTATATTTTCTTATGGGTAAGCATTGGGTCAAGCAAAAGAAACTAAAGAATAATAAACCTTTACCACTCTTCTGAATTACTATACGCTATTTGGGATTTCTTGGGGCTTCTTGAATTTCAATTGACAAACCTTTTCTTCGACCCCTTGGAACTTTTGGAATTCTTTAGCTTTTTGAAACGTCCTCCTTCTGGTTTCTCACTTTTGTTTCACAATAAATAAAGTTTAAAACAGTTTCTTTTTAGATTTTCGAACCGTCAATTAAAAAGAAAAAAAGTATTTTGTTGCTGGTCTAATATAATCAAATGAATTGGAATAATTTTTTTTAATGAAATAGAAATAACACTATGAAACCCCTACTTTATTTTACAAATAGTTTATCCCTGTATATAAACAGATGTGTTTAACCTTAAACAAAATTGTATTACTTTATTATTCTTTAAGTTAAATAAGAGTTGAATATAAAGAACAAGAACTATTATTTTACTTGTTATTCAGATATAGTGTGAACCCAAATGAAGATTTTTATGAAATTACTATTTTACAATGATTTCCACTTTCAAGAAATATTCTTATGGAATGAAAATTGTGCACACTTGACACTATGTTTTAAACCCAGCATATCACAAGTTGTTATCGCTAAATGTTAATTGCCCGAGTTTTGTTACCTTGAAATCATTGAAATATTAAACAATGAATCTAATTTTACAATAGGAGTGATCAATTGAATGATGAAATGAGAATAGGTATTAAATATTATAGAATATTATATATCTCATGAAACAAACAAAATAAAGCTTGTGTTAAACGCAATTTCAAAGACATTATGTTAGTCAAAGGTTAAAGGTGAATAGGATTTTAGTTCCACACAATATGAATGAAAAGGTACATAAAATGAGAAGAGATGGAACATGTTATCAAATTATCAACAATTCAAACAATTTATAAATAAAGACCTACTCACGCTTGATTTGACTGATCTTCATAATATACAGGATTTGATCTGTAAAAATTATACAAAATTCATCTTTGTTTATCAAATTAATTAAAGGATTTTCATAAAGAAATTCCAGGCCAGCTTTTAAGAATGCAATTAGGAGTAGGAAATTTTTTTTTCGTGAATGGTTGATTGAAAGAAAGAATGAATGAATGAATGAATAAAGAAATAGATGATGCTATTAATGTTTAAAAAAATGGAATTGATGTAAATGTTGAGTATTTGAAATACATGTAAGTCTTTATTGTATGGACCATATACAGCAATATTGAATACTCTGATTTTAAAATGGCCAAATTAAAAAAGCTGTACTCCTTAATGGTTCCTCCATTATATTGACATTCATGAATAGATTATAGCAGAAATAACTAAATGATGTAGAGTGTAGAAATTTTGTGTGGAGAATTAGATCCTGTTAGGATATGCAATAAGTCATTTTAAATAGATACACATGCATTTAACGTGCTTATCAGTGCAGATATACAGAAGCATCAGGAGAAAATTGGTTAAAAATACTTGATAATCAAGGATACTAAATGAATATATGATGGATAAGATACAATGTATGTGAATGTATCCAGAATATTTAAGCAAAAAAAAAATCTCTTTGATCTAAATACCTGTTGTTTTTTGTTTTTTACAAAAAGGTATCAAGCTTCTAATTGCACATTACAGATTAGGAAAAGTATGGAGGAAAATACAACAATGACTCAACTAGCATGTTATTACATAATTATAGCTGTTTCATTGGCTGATAATTGTGCATTTGATTCAAACATTTGATTACATGTTTTGTTGTATGGTTATTATAGCATTTTGCATGATAAACATGAAACTACTATCAAAGCAAGAGAATGATGTACATTTTACCCATACAATCTGTTTCACAAATTTAGAAGACTAAAATAAATAGTGTATATTCTCTATATAACTTTGACAAATAAACAACAAACATACATGCAGAATAATATAGAGGTATACACTTGCAAGCAAAATGGAAAAAAAGATATAACATAATAAAATTGAGAAATGTAGGGGATGGGAACAAAATACATGAAGAAAAAAAAAATCATTATTTAGAATACCAAATAACATGGTATAAAAGGTTTCAGTCAGTTGATGATTTTCAGCATTCAAAAGGCCTCATATTTCTGTTAACAAAAAAGATATCAAAGGGGCAATTTATAACCACTGACCAGTGGGGACTTTCTGCTGTAAGAAAATGATACATATTTTCTAAATGTGTATGGTGTTACAACTTTTTTGCAAGCGTTACAAAGTATCAAAAGTGCTTATTTGGTAAATAAATATTACTAATAAACAAACAATATATGTATGACAATGCATGCAATGATGATTATCGACTGTATGAAATGGACAGCTTCAAACATGAAAATGTAACCAATCACCAATGACTTAATTAAAAGCTAGGGACTTGATGAATTCATCATATACACTTTACAAAAAGAATTAATTTTTGGGACCATGTTTTATGAAGGGATTTTTTTTCCCCCTCATGCATCTCTGTTCCTATAAACTCAGTCATTATATATGACAGAAAAAATAAAACAAAAATTATACACATGTTTATAGTTCTACCCACAATACACAACTGAATGGTGACAGTTCAATGAGACTAAGAATATCGAACTGAGTTTCATTGGGTCTGGAATAAGTAAACTAATCCCTACTTTCAACAAAAAGAAGTGTACAATGTAGAGAGATGGAATTGGAAAGTAGGGTTTAGTCTATCTAATCTAGACTCTGTATAGCACAGTTTATTCAAAAACATGGAAAATTTCTCTCTGCCAAGCAGACTGGCTAACAATACATGCATACATGTGCATTTACAATGGTAATTAAACAACATCCACATCTAATATAGATACTAACCCATTCAGAATTAAAGCTTCAAGCTAAAATATTTTTTTTAAATTTCATTTGCAAATTGGCAACAGTGGTACCTTTCTTTTGATGATGTAGGTTTCTAATAAAAATTCATGTACCTGAAAAGACCATTTATGAATGAGAATTACTTGTGGATATATATTTACAAAATTTCAGAATTGGCCATTTATATGGGAAAACAGTCATTTTGAACTTTGTAACATGTTGCCAAATTCATTTTCTTTTGATAATTCCTGGCTTCAAACAAAATAAAAATTGACACATTGTGAGCAGACATTTTTTATCTCTCTATGTTCATACATCAGGGGGGTGTTTCACAAAGATCCTAAGTTGTAATTATCTCTAACTTGTATTTAAAAATTGGATTTAAAAAATGGAAAGCTGGTAGCATCTTTGAAAGTATTTTGTAAAAGTTATTCTAAAAGGCGTAGAATGTTGATTCAAGTCATTCATATTTTCTATTATCAAGGAGATTTCATGTAATTCATGTGGAATTAATGAAAAGTCTAAGATACTTGAATTTTTGCTTTGAATATATTTCATTTCAAGGCTACAAATGGCTCTCCATAATTTTTAAGTCCAACTTAGAGTTAAGTTTGACTTTGGATCTTTGTGAAACACCCCCTGGTATATTTCTTAAAATTCTAAAGTTGAAGTTCTTAAAGCCAATTATTCTGAATGGGTATACGCAGTTGTAATTGAGGGAAACTTCATGAACAGATGTGCACAGATGTGAAATGCATGAGATGGAACACAGACGGGGTGACAGAAAAACAAGATTGAGTTGCGGCAGAAAACTTACGTCGAAGGTAAAAAGGCTTTATCAGGACACTGAGCCCTGAATGTACAGTGAGCAGAAGAAGTGAAGATAGGCAGATAGCAATGAGATACTCAACCAGATACAGTCCCTCCAATATACATTAACTATACCCAAACTACCCTTTTACCCCAATGGAGTGGTCCAATTTGTCATATGGAGGATTACTGACAAGGATGATACCACTCTATAAGAAGGTGACCAAAACTATAATCATGCTTATCTATGTTTAAAAAATACAACTCAAATATGAATTGAAAGACCTTGATATAAAGACCAACCAACAAAAAAAAAGGTCCACTGTAACCATTTGTAAGGGACAAGAACTTCATATTGTTGTATGGCTATACAAGAAAATAAGCCATAAAAGTATGTCTTTAAGAAATCTTTCATATCATCTGGATATTCTACATCTGATCACTTCCCAATTCAACCAATCCCATTGATAAAGGTGGAAATCCTCTATGGAAGGAACCATTTCCCTTAGCAGGGTGATACTAATTTTAAAAACCATGTTCAGAATGTTTTTTATTTAGCATTTAAAGTACTCTGATCTCATATCTTGTAGAATCTCAATTAAGTAGAATAGAAGCATTCCTCTCTATTTAAAGAATCAACACTGAATACCAGACTTAATTTAAAGACATTTCACTTAATGGTCATAAAATGTCCCAAAATGGAAACATAACATCTATATCTATTGCAAGAATTACATGAAAGCAGAAGAATTAATAGTTACTGACGAACTAAGAAAAGTCGCAGCAAGGTGTCATTAAATAAAGCTCAGTTTAATGATCTGGATAAAGATATTGAGCAGCGTATAGTCTAAAGAGTGCAGAGAAATCTGAAGGGATACATCAATAGTGTAGTTTTTGCCCTGTTAGGAATACACACTACATAAGGAAAATAAAATTCGACAAAAAACAAACGTTGTTTTTAATACATGTACATGATATGGATCATAACATTGTTTTCAAATTTACCAATGTACATTTTCTTTGTATGCATTCACTTATACACAAGTTTGATTCAAATGCTTTAACATGCCTTTTGCACGCATTTAATTCAACAGGTTTTATGATGAAAAGTTCTAAGATTTCCTAGCCACTCATGTAAATTCCTTTTGATTAATTTGTAATAATAAAATACAAAACTGTATCACAAGTTGAACATTGTTGCAAAATCGATATAGAATATATAAAATGGTTTTATTAACTGAGTCACTAGTATTTCAGGGGATGAAACTTGGTCGAATATTGCCTAAATATGGAAGAGTGCTCTCTGTCCAATGACAAAACATGTAATCAGGCCAAAAGAACTTGAAACGAAAACTGATCAGGTATGTGAGATAGCAATAGTTTATCTTATGTTTTTATTTCTAATTATAACTAAGCATATAACTGAAATCCTTAAATTCCGTTTAAAACTCAGTAATGACGAAATTCAGCTGCACAATCATTCAATCTGCCATCATTATCATATTTTTTTAAAACGTTAAAAAAGTCATGAAAAGAGATGAATCAACTTACATTTCCAAGTCTTCACCATTTCCATAAGGGTTGAATGTGTTATACATTGATGGGAGATACATTCGCCCTGCTTTATCTTTCTCCATTTCTCGTCTGGAAATGAAAAGATAAGAAAAGAGGTTGTGTTTAATAAGAAAAAAAAAAAGATTAGACTTACCATTTAAACATCTTTTGATTGAAGAACCATCATTCCAGCTCCATCTTCCTCTAAAGTTCTCGTAATCATCAATATAATCATAATCATTCATCATCATCATCATCATCAACAGCATCATATCAACATCATAATCATCAACAACATCATATCAATATCATTGACCGGGGTAATAGTATATTTGTAAAGCGCTTAGAGACGTTTGTATTAAGCGCTATATAAAAATTAAATATTATTATTATTTATTATCATCATCATTGTCCTCGTCAGTAATATTATCACCACCATCAGCAGGATCATCCCCCCCCTCCCCTCCCCTCCCCCCTCTCTCTCTCTCTATCTCTCTTCCTCCTCCTTCTTCTTCTTCTTCTTCTTCTTCTTCTTCTTCTTCTTCTTCTTCTTCTTCTTCTTCTCCTCCTCCTCCTCCTCCTCCTCCTCCTCCTCCTCCTCCTCCTCCTCCTCGACTTACTTCTTCCATGATATGATGACCACACCGATGGCTATGACCACGCAGATGAACAGCACACAAGCTAGGCATATGAGAGCAATGGCTTCCACCGTAGGGCCATTACCGTCTGGGGATACTCCTGGGCCCGTCGTGGGTTGGGTCGGTCTCCTGATGTCTGTAATTGTCTTATTCTCTACAATGGTTGAATAGCGCTCATTGAGTGAGGTGTTTTGAGAAAGAAGGATCCTAGAGGGGGGCAAATGTTTATTTGTAGCATTGAATGATGGTGAATTAAACTTAACACATAGATAGGCAAGCAGAAAAGAAGTCCAAGTTAACAAATAAAATGTAGATATTTCTATATTAGGAGATATGTAACACAGGTGTGTCAAATCATGAAAAGCTGATCTCTTATCCTATCTAAAATGAAATACATGACTGGGTATTAGGATATTCTTTATTTTACCATAACATGAATATTTACTACACAGGAAAGAAACATCTTTTGGCAATTTTTTGTTCAATATTTGATCTATTGTAGAAGATTTCACTGATAGTTCACTAAACAAATGGGCAGATTTATTATTAGAATTATCAGGAAATGTAGACAGCAGTTGTCAAGTTGAATTAATAACTCACATGTTTAACAAGGCTGAAGGAAGTCCTTACTACACACCTCAGACAACAGCAATTGTTAAATTTAAATCTAATTGCCACTGTGCAAAAACACACAAGTTCACATCCACTGTAATTACATTCTATACCAAAGTGAAGTCGTCTTAAAAACTTAGCAAATACAGATAATAAAGTCTGTTTTGGGCACCAGAAAGCAAGAACATTTGCACACAGAGAAGTTCTGTAAAGTAAAAGAACCGAAGCAACCTGCAAGCAAGTACAGTTGAACTTATCTATAGCGACTGCCCAAGGGAAACACAAAAGTGGTCCTTGTAGACAGGTTCCTTTAGTACATGTTTCAATGAGAAACCATTTTCAAGGGAAACAAAAATGAGGTCTTTGTCAGTAGACTGGTGGTCACTAAAGCAGGTTTGACTGTATATTGTTTGGATTTCATCAATGGGGTTCTTACTCCACCATGTCGTTTCCTAGTATTGGGTCCCCGTTGGCGTCGAGGGCATAGAAGAGGACGTCCGATCCCGTCGGGTCCAGACCATTACCGACCTCTCTCTGGCTCACATCCTCGATGTACACGTCGGCAGTGAGAGCCTCTGATAGGATTTCAGAGAGGGCGTCCTGGTTCTCTCTCATAAGGTCAGGGTCGATGTTACCAGCCAGGATGGCACGATGGGAGTTGTCGATCAGAGATATCTGCATGAAGATCAAGGAGTACAGGACAATTAGATGGTATACCTAGCTGGTGGGAAGAATTCCTTGAATGCCTTCAGCCTTTCTTTTAATGACGCAACTTAAAGCCCCACTGTACTACTTGTAGCTATCTGCTCCCTCTATATAGAAAACAATGCATAAGTGGTGCCTGTTGGTTCCACATGATTCTATTTTTCTTGTGTTAATTGAGAGCTGAGTTGATGAGATTACAATACACCTGTCAGTGACCAGCAGGGTGGTCTTATCCTTCCTGGCCAAACTAGTGCAGACAGGTTTTAAGCCAAGGAGTATGTTGTATGATTCTGTAGTGTCTTGAGTATACATTGACATGGAGATACATGTACATATATAAAAATTGACTGTTGAATCTATTGATTTCAAATGGCTTAATAATAGAGGAATAACTCAGGTCCTATAGTTAAAGGGTTCACTGTTTAGACCTCACAAAATATTGTAGCATTTCACAAATACAATATTCCGTCATTCGATTCTTTGCTCGCATACAAGGCATGTTCTTTCTCTAGACCTAGGCCTACTTCTTGCAATAGCTGGGTTCTTTCTTGATATTAAACATGCACATATTTGATTGACATTTGAATTTTCATATTTAAAAACAGATAGGTGTATGTTTTTAAACTACCGGTACAGGTTAAGGTTCGACTGAATCATAAATACAACAATATTAATTTTCAATTCTCTTTGAGCTTTACATTTTAACTTGGAAAACATAAACATAAAACAGAAATATGCAACACTACTGCAGAAAAGATAGGTCATCTCAAGGATTTTCTTGAAAGTATAAAGAAATTGTATATTCCTAATTGGTATGGTATGGTATTTATTTCATTCTTCATAAAAAACATATACAATACATACAGAGTATTAAAAAAAAAAGAGAGAAATATATAAATACATGTAGAAGGGTAACATTACAGATAATATGAATACAATAAAATTAACAAGGAAATTAGTTAAGAAAGAAAATTTATGTCGAATGAGGGGTCAACAAAAAAGAGCATTTAGCCTTGTTAAACGTTGACCCCTAAACAAATACGTAATTAACATAACATTAAGAAGAAAAAGAAAGCAGGTAGAAACAGTAAAACGGAAAAGGAAAACATTGTACAAAAAAAATAACATATATATATATATATACATACTATGATATTCAGGTTATTGAGTACAAATTTGATAAAAACAATCGGAAGGAACGTTTAAAACTATTTAAGGAAGGTTGATTCTTTAGATGGTTTGGAATCGTATTGTCAAGGGTAGAGAATTCCACAGAGCAGTTGCTGATGCCGTGAATGATGAATATTCAGAAAATGAAGGATGAATATCTAGAATACCTAATTGAGCATGGTCTCCGCCATGGAGAAGTTATTGCTTGGATCATAAACATAATACAGAAAAATAGAACACTACTGCAAGAAAGGATAGGTCTTAAGGGCTTTCTTTTGAGTATGAAGAGAATATAGAGAGAATATATATTCCTAGTAGAATTCCGCAGTGTAGTTGCTGATGCCACGAAGGATGACTATCTAGAAAATGAGCGATGAATTATGTAGAATACCTTGACCATGGTCTCCGCTATGGTGAAGTTATTGTTTGGATCTTCTGCCAGGACGGTATATTCAAACTGACTGCCGGCTTCCTCTCCCTCAAGACTCTGAGTCGTACTGAATATCCCTGTAGCTCGGTCTATCCTGAACAAAGGTTCTCCTTGTACCACGGCGACAATGGAGTAGGTGGATACACCGTTTTCTCCCTCATCATCGTCAAAGGCCTGGTGGAAGATAATAATAATAACGTTTTATTTACCCAGGGTAGCCACTTCAGTTATAAAACGGCTCTTCCAGCGGGCCCTGCATAACATAATATGTTATTACTACCCTTCTCCAATCTAATATGCTGAGCGCCTAGCTAGAAGGCAGAAGGTCCTATTGTTATAAGACTTTGGTGTGACTCGGCCGGGGTTCGAACCCACGACCTCCCGTTCATGAGGCAGGTGCTCTAAGCACTGAGCCACCATGCCTGATATTATAACATGTCGAGAGAGATAACTGTAACTCTCCATAATCATAGGTCAATCTATGGCACTCTGTCACATAGATATTTTGTGATATCTTTAACTAATATATACTCAGTAATATAAATCAAATATTCGGGGGAACTTTTTTAAACAAGGCCACCATGGGCTTTTTCTTTGTTCTCCTATTTCATTTGAAGTTATTGTATAAACTGAACATTCTTTGTATGTATATATACTTGTATGTTTATTTGCATTTGCTGTGTTTTTTATGAAAATAAACAAACTGAACTGAGGTATACAGTTTAGTTGGACACCTACATATACATTTATGTTGGCAAACACGATCACTTATTTAGCGTTATCTAAAAATGTGTTTTTTGAAATAAAATCTCTTATTTCAGGAACCATTAAATGTCTAATTTTGAAGATTTGATAAATAGCCTAGATATGTCAAAATGTTATCATAAAGTGATAACGCATAGCTAAGATGCAAGTCTCTCTGCCTCTACCGGGTACAAAACTAGGAGTGATGAAATTTAAACTGGCTTAGACATTCTTTACACATACACTGGAACATGCCAAATTCTTCTGATGTGCTTGTATTTTGCATTGGTTTCAAATAACAAATAACCATGTCCATAACTGAGCAACTATTTCAGCAAATAATCTCATCCAGTACCATAGAATATTTAAAAATGACAATATTGATATATTTACCTCAACTGCAATGACCTGTGTCCCGACCCTGGCTACGGTAGAGACCCCAGCGTAATAGTTCTCCTTGAGAAAGTATGGTCCGTTGTCGTTGATGTCTGCAACGTTCACGTAGATGTAGACAACGTTTGGGTCGGTAGGCTCAGCTACTTCTGAGAAGAGATCTAGGAGGTGAAAAATTGAAGATGTCAAGATGAAGAAAAAACTTGGTATTAAAGGTAATACAAAGTTTCGGGAAATTTTGAAATTGGGTGGATAATGATTCTTTACAAATTTAATATAATTGGATACCCCTGTGGTTTTTTTTTATAATCACTAGAACATTTAGCCCCTAAAACACTTCTGCTTTCGAGAAAAATTCAATATAAATTGAATATAAAAATTTACCGGTGCTCCCGGTAAATTTTTATAAATTTCAAATACGGCTGTACAATGGTAGCTGCGACCATGAGAATTTCAGAATATGTATAGTTGTGATATATAATTCCCAAACGGAAATAGGTAATCGGTCGATTTTAGTCAAGAAACATTGTTTTATAGCTTGATTAATATATTGACCTTGAGAGGGAGCTATACAACATAAAGAGTTTATCATTTACAATTTCATAACTTCAGACACGATTTCAACCGCACAACGATCACTGAATATTATAGGATCGCATATGTTCATTTGAACCAAATTCATGACCCCATACCAAAACTTTGTATTACCTTTAAGTTCTGTTTGATCAAAATCAATATTGTCTTTCACTCTTACGTTACTCTCCCTCTTTAACAATTTTTTTTTCTCTCAATTTATCTGTAAGAGTAACAAATACAAGAGTAGCAATAATAATTTGTGAAAATAGTAATATTACATTCAACTTTACATTGCCAATTTAATGATTTTGTTGCTAAAGTTACTCTAAAAAATTAACAGCATTACACTGTTTGAAAAGCACCAAAATTAATCAAACTTTTGTCATTTACTCTTTCTCCTCCTGTACTCATAGAATCTAGTCTGAAAGGTAAAACAAAAAAATGAAGACATACATGTATAAGAAGCTTTGTACAAAACAGGGTACATTGTTCTTCTAGCTTCAATTAATTTACCTGCTTGGCGCCTCTTTCTCCGACCAGTCTGCTCCGGTAGATTGTTTTCATCCGGGGTAGCTCCTTGTATGTTGGCCTGGACCGAGATAGAGTAGTTTTCCACTAATTCACGGTCGAGAGTCATATTCGTGTAGATCGTTGCTACGTTGTCGGTTGTATTCATTGTAAAGGCACCTGTAGAAAGAATTTCCAGATGTCATGAATATTTGCAAATGTACATGTACAGTACATGCAGGTAAAAGTAATAAAATACTACTTTAATTTTCTTTTTCATCTTCTTTTTCATTGTTGTATGTGTGTTTGCATGTTGTTTCATCTTTTGCACTAGCATGTCTTGAGCATTTAATTTAAAGTGCATTTGGTATTTTACAAATCTTTTTTAGTACTATATCATTATTGTTATTTATATATTATTTTAAACAGTACATGTAGTAGCCAAAGTAGTATTGTAAAGTACATTTATAATAGTTGTAGAAGTAGTGAAAATAAAAGTAGAAGTCAATATAGAACTGTCTGTATAGTAACACATCAGGAGCTCTTGCAGTACAGTAGAATGTATTCATAAATTCATATCATTTTCAATATTATTGTTGTTGTTGTTGTTGATGTTATTATTATTACCATCCTCCTCCTCATCATTATCATTTCAATTACTATAATTATATATTGTACTGTCTACAGCAGAATTAACAGCATCAGCATCAGCATCTGAAGTGGTATTAGATAGGTCTAAATTAAAGCATGAGATTAGATTAAGAGTTCTTGACAACTTACTTGGGTCGGTTGAATTGACTATGGTGTATAAAATAACATCTCCGATATTGGCCATGGCTTCGATGACAGCCACTACAACGCCTGGTTCCTCTTCCTCCATTACATCATCCACACTATACATGGAAGGGGGTGAAAATATGACAAAACTCCTGGTTTTATATGCTGCATTTTAAAATGTTTCTTCCACTCGTCTCTCTCTCTCTCTCTCTCTCTTCATTTTATCATTCATTTTTTGTTATCCTTTTCCACATTCTACAAATTTAATTACATTTCTCCTTATTTCCATCTTTCACTCTCTCATCAACCTCCCCCCTCCCTCTCTCTTGCAATCTCCCCCTCTCTCTCTTTCCATCTTCCTTTCTCACTCTCTCTCTCTCTTTCCTTTCATCTTCTCTCTCCTCTTCTTTTTTTCTTTCTCTCTCCTAATCTTTCTCTCTCTCTCTCTTCTCTTTCTTGTCTCTCTCTCTCTCTCTCTCTCTCTCCCTTTCTTTTTATCTCTTTCTTTCTTTTACTCTCTTTCTCTCTCCCCCTTGCTTCTCTCTCTCTCTTTCCCTTTCTTTCTCTTTTGTGTCTTTACATTACACGTACATCTACCCAGGAAATATATCAAGATTTTCTCGCTCCAACTTACATGATGACGTTCTCGGGGAAGATAGGTTTTTCCACTCTGAGCAATATTGAGAGAGGAACCATTGCTATGTTAGCCGGATCTCCGCCATCACTGACTACTATTGTCAGCTGAAAGGCAAATAATTCAGGAAATGGATAAAAGTTGAAGAGTATGCATCAATACAACACTGCTTATATGCACCCTCTTTTTATCAGACTTATGAACGATGCTAGAAAGTTGCAATCAATTACAAATCCCCCAAATCAAGCGTAAGTCTTGCAATTATTTCAAATTTGCAATTGATCGCAACTCAACTTTCTTGCAATGCCCCGTTAGTAAGAGAAAGAGAGAGTGGGAGAATAAAAGCTAGATCTAGTTGACTTATTTCAATTGTTAAAACTTTAATCCAAACAAAATCCAAGGAAATTCCTGAGACTAATGGGGCATTGCAAGAAAGTTGAGTTGCAATCCATTGCATATATCAGTTGCAAATTTTGCAACTTGCAATCAATTGCAACTTTCTTGCAATGCCCCATTACTTTGCATGCAGGATAAAGTCACTTGCTATTGATCTATTCATTGGGTGTGTGAAAATTAATACATGGCATATCATCAAGCTTAACGAGAAGCGTATAGTTATGGTGTAAAGTAAACGCATATGTACACTCTATAACACATAAACTGACTTAATCTTACATGTCGTCATTAAAAAAATATTGCTATCGAGATTTGTCATCAAAACTTAATGTCCACATTTTTAGCAAGATTTTTGATGATCTTTGATAATAGCTAGGGGTCACTCTGATCATTAAAAAAATAGTGCTATCGAGACCTGGCATTCAAAATTTATTGTCCGTATTTTAAGCAAAATTTCTGATAACCTTTGATAAGCTAGTAACTCTGATGCGAATCAAAGAACATAAATACATTCCCTTGTTTATCTATTAGAGATATAATTCTTTCATCATATTTCAAATTAAACAAAATTTGAAGTACCAAAATGTCCACTTATTGAAGCAACTGGTTTAGAATGTATACATGTAATCTGCATTCAAAAATATGTTTGACAATATACCTGTTCTTACATAATATTCGCAAAATCTTTGGAAATAAATTTCAGGGAGATTTGTTTGCATTTCAAGGAAATAGACATCCTTTTCTACTTACATTATGCCACATGGTGGTATTACTGATGTCACCTATGACATAAACATTGCCTTGAGTTGGGTCTGTAAACTCAAACAGATCTGACGGCGGTAAAAATCTGAAGGTCAACTCAGAATTTGGTGAGCCCTGCAGAAAGATGAAAATATTGAAGGTTAGTATGACAATCATGATTTCTTATCACTGCATATTAAAATGGAAAATCAGTTTTTCCTGTAGGTAAAATCACATTGTTTGGCAGTCTACCATATTCATATGGACCCTCATTGAAAATAGGTATCCCAAATTATCATGATAGACTGCCGAAATAAATATGATATAATTTAGGTGATCTCAATGATCGTGGTACAGAAATTTGATTGGATATCATATCGTCACTGTTTTAAAAAAAAATTGCATTCACTTTGCGTGACGATTTTCCTCACTACCGTCACTTCGTGAAAACAAGGACGATATAATCATTGAACTAGAACTCCAAATCTTCTTATGATTCAAAGTAAAATTTCAAACTAAATCAATCAAATGGAGATGTTTTGTGACAAGTTTATCATCACAAAGCAGAAATCCTTTACTGCTATTAGCAGTTGTCGGTCATGCTTTAGCATGTCAGATCCAATAGCTTCAGTAAGCTGTACATTTTGAAGAAAGAAAAACTTCAATGATGATTTCTGGTGGGAACAATATATTTTAAGAAGGACCATAGTTACCATGATTTTACAACTCTCAGAAATTGTGTGGGCCCATATCTGTTTACACGTATTTCAAAATTTCAAATATTTAGAGTCTTAAAGAAGGCTCACCGCAGGGTCTCCGTCTGTGACAGTGATATTGGCAAGGACTATATCTCCTATCTGGTACTCTCGTAGAGCGATGACATCATACTGGGTTTTTTCAAAGCTCGGAATGTTGTCGTTCACATCCTGTAAACAAAGGTCAAAGGTCAAAAGTCTTTTGAGTTGAAATCTTGAATCAGTAGGGGGAGGATTATAAAAATTGACTACGCAGTGACAACATTTGTAAACTTTTAATGCTATTAGGCTAAATATTCTAGAAAGTAAATTGTAAGCTTGATCTTGACTTGAAAATACTGACATATGCTTTCTTATACAGTAAGCTTATGGTTGCACCATGTGTGAGAGAGGGGGGAGGTTTTAAAACTTGACATCACTTGTAAACTTTTAATGCTATTAGGCTAAATATTCTAGAAAGTACAATGTAAACATCATCCTGCCATTAAATACTGCTCCATGGAAAGGAAAGTCTACATCCAATTCTTCCATCTTTTTGTAATAATTGTAACAGGTAACTATGCAAACCCTAGCCAAAGATTTTGAATTCTACATGTATTCCCCCCCCCCCCAATTTTTGTGATATAAACTGGTAACAGCTCAAATCCTAAAGACATGTGATTTCCTTCAAGAAGACATTTGCAATTTGTGACTAAAAGAAAATTACATTACATTACATTACATAATATATACAAAATAAATATATATATAATAAAAAAAATTCTACTCACCGTAACTACAATTGTAATATTGGCCACATCGGTCAAATTTACACCATCTACGTCCGTGACGGTCACCTCAAAATAGAACGACCTTGCACCAATATTCTCATAGTCCAGCGGGACGAGAAGAGAGAGATTACCGGTCAGAGGATCTATACTGAAGATGTTGGTTTCCCCAGCAGTGATAGCATAACGGAGAGGTGCATTAGCATCCCGGTCCAGGGCCTGATTTATGGGATGGTGAAAAGCATTTGTATGAATGAATTGCTATTATGTCTTTGACCTTTATCATTGTAATGAATATTATACCCAATCTTTGTTTAATGATGAGTACTATGTTTACTGCTACATCTAAGCGCCATATGTATACATGTTATTGTTTCAAAACCATTTTGTATTTGTTGTATCAGTGCTCTGATCAGTATACTGTAAAAGCACTTACTAAGAAACATTTATTATTATTACAATTGTTATTATCACTACACTGCATGTATACTTTTGTAAAGGTGTGGTGAATAGTCTAGTTGATAAGTCATTGACTATGGACCTCGTGGTCTAGGGTTGAAAATTTTCCGCCAAGGCACAAATGACCTTTGGCAAGACATTAGTCTCTGTTTGCCACTCTCTACCCAGGTGAAATAAATGGGGCATCAGAAAGGGGAAAATACCTTGAATGCTTACCTGTCTTACACGAAAGCTTGGCAAAACTTGGGGTAGAAGTGCTATGTATCCTCAGAAAAAAAAACTTTATATATTCAATTATTTCTTTAGGAATACAAATCCGACATACGCGGTCCATATTTAATATGACCAAATCTTCCTAATATGTTCTTTGGCATATTTCACTGGGTATATCATATGAGGAAACTAAAGGGCATATACCTGGACTGCAAAAAACCCTTGCAGAGGAGTGTTTTCCGGCACCTCAATGATGTACTCAGCCGACTCGAAGACTGGCCGGTTATCGTTCGTATCCTGCACGACGATGACGATATCCAACGTGGCCGAGAGAGGATTAGTGGTCGTATCCCTTGCCATGACAGTCAGGGTGTAAATGTCCTGCTGCTCCCTGTCTAGACCGACCGTCGTGAAGATGCGGCCTGTCGTGGGCTCGATGCGGAACTCAGGCACCTCGGGCAGGAACGAGTATATGATGGCAGAGTTTGCTGAGTTGAGCTGGTCTTGGTCAGTAGCCTGGGAGTGACAGATTAAAGAAATAGCATAAGCTTCATTCTACAGCTTTCAAGCCTTATGCATGACAAAGTCTAAGCGTGCCGCTAAAGATTTTCCTTGTTGTGCAACAATCTCTCGATCTCTTTAAAAAAAGGCATCTCAAAACTAAGTAGTTTTGTACATTGTTCTTTGAAATATATAACCTGGACTTATTTTGTGTTCTTCTTTGTTCTTGACACAAAAAGGTGCATTTGAATATGCGTATGGAAAATCCATATGTTTATAACAAGAATTTTATTTATTATCATTGTAATTATCATGGTTTCCTAATTAGGCAAGTATCAGAGCTGATTGACAAACGTGGCATATTCAGGCACCGAGTTTGAACTTGAATACTCACCTGTACTTGCCCTACTAACTCATTGCTGATGCTTTCTAGGATCAAGAATGTATCCGCGCCGGAGAATACCGGAGGCTCATCATTGACATCGTTGATGGTGATTAGGACTACAGCAGAAGCAGTCTAAAATCAGAAGAAAAAAGATGATTCATTTGTTATATTGTCTATTGTTCTCATCATATTTATAATAGGCAGAATGTTTAGATTCAATGTTGAACCCAACTGTCTTGGCATGTCATTGCAAAAAAAAAAAAGATGAACTTGTTCTGTTATAATCAGTAAAGGAAATCACATTAACAAGAAATAACTTGAGTTATGCATAATATACAGTTTGTTTACATGCACTTCAAATCACTTCCTCATTCAAATTAGGCTGAAATAAAACAAAGATATCATTCTTTCAATACACACTTGTCTTTGAGTTTGCAACTTCTTGATGACAACACAGCATCTTTTTTGCTTAAAGATATATCAAACTCTAATATAATCTAACTCTTGGTGAAATCTGTAAAAAAAAGAGGAAAATTAATTGAACTCCTTGGACATGATACAAGCTATAACAAGCAAATGGACTTAAATTCATCTAGGATGGTCCTGAAATTAGTCCTGGTTACAGGGCCTACATGCAATTAGACCTGGGGCCCGTTTCACAAAGCCTTTTTTAAAAACACAAATGACAAATATCAGTGACAAATCTGCTGATAACCAATCAGAAGCAAGAATTTCAGTAGCTTATAACAAAAAATGTCATTTGTCACTGATGAAAAGTTTTGTGAAACGCCCCCCAGATTACTCACCAGGTTTCCATCTGAAGCTTCCACAACCAGTGAATAGGAAGCAAGGACTTCTCGGTCTAGTGAGCCCTGGACTCGAATCTCTCCATTGCTATAAAGAAAAGAAGTCCATCGTCAGCTTCATCATCATCATCATTATTATCTTAATAACACTTGCAAAAGCAAAAGGAGCCCTGTGCTGTCTAATGAAGATGTGAACTTCTAATGATACAAAAACATCATCATCATAATAATCATCACTACCAACATCGTCTTCATCATCATCATCATCATCATTATCACCACCATTATCATTTTCATCATCATCATCATTATCATCATCATCATCATCGTCATCATCTTCATCAGCATCATCATCATCATCATCATCATCTTAACCATCCTCATCCTCATCATCATTATCATTACCATCACCATCATCAAACTCTTCAATTATCTACTTGATCAACAAGACTTCTATAATGGCAAAAAGTTAGCGTAGTGCTGTCATATAAAGATATGAAACTACTAATGAGGTATGACACATCATCATCATCATCATCATAATCATCATTATCATCATCATCATCATCATCATCATAATCATAATAATCATCATCATAATCATCATAATCATCATAATCATCATCATCATCATCACCACCATCAGCAGCATTATTGTCATCACCATCATAATCATCATAATCATCAGAAGCAGCATCATCACCATCATCATCATTGCTGGTTCTTAAATTCGCATTGCACAAAACTCAGACCGTTCAGAACATGCATAAGAAGTCACATTTATATTTTATTTGGTTCAAAAATTTGCGGACACAGACTTTAGCGCCAAATCCGCGAAAATTAATGTACCGCAAATATTTCAGCATTTGCAATAGCTCAGTGCTGTCATATGAAACTACTGCTACTGAGATAAAATACCTCATTATCATCATCATCCTCATCATAATCAAACAAACTTTAAAGTGTGAATGCTTCATATACTTACTTTGCACCGTCGACAGTCATGAAAGCATTGTTGATGTTCCCAGACGTGATGCTGTATGTTATGAACTCTCCATCAGGATCTGTAGCCTAAAAAATCACAAAAACATTATTTGAAGAGATTATAACTATAGATGACTAGAAGAGAAAAAAGAAGTAGAATGAGGAGAAGTAAAAGAAGGAAGAAGAGGAGGATAAAATGAATTAGAAGAAGGAGAAGGAAAAGGAGGAAAAAAGAAGAAGCATGGGGAGAAGTAGGAGGAGATGGAGGAGGAGAAGGAAGGAGGAGAGAAAGAAGATGAAGAAGAAAAAGAAGAAGAAAGAGGAGGTGGAGAAGAAGGAAAGGAGAAGCGGAAGAAGAAAGAGGAGGTGGAGAAGAAGGAAAGGAGAAGCGGAAGAAGAAAGAGAAGGAGAAGAATGAGGAGAAGGAGAAGAATGAGGGGAAGGAGGAGAAGAAGTGATGAAGGAGAAGTAGAAGAAGAAGAAGAAGAAAAAGAAAGAGATGGAGAAGGAGAAGAATGAGGAGAAGGAGGAGAAGAAGTGAAGAAGAAGTAGAAGAAGAAGAAGAAGAAAAAGAAAGAGATGGAGAAGGAGAAGAATGAAGAGAAGGAGGAGAAGAAGTGAAGAAGAAGTAGAAGAAAAAGAAGAAAAAGAAGAAGAAAAAGAAAGAGATGGAGAAGGAGAAGAATTAGAAGACGAATCCATTGAGGGGGATAAACAGGTAAAACACGTTTTTCCAAGGATGTAAGTATAAAATAAATATAGAGCCCAGGACTTCTATGACAGTCAAGAGCTTCCATCAATACACCACACAAAATACAAGACTAGGAAATCTATCATAAAATTAGAGGGGTCGGGGGACAACAGTCAATGAATACACCGTGTGACCGTTTTTTTTTTTTTTTGAAGAATTTTTTTTCCCACATGTGCTGCAATAAAGACTTCCATGGAAGAGTGACATCACTGGAAGTTCATTCTGCAGATCTTACAGCTATTTCGAGATGCAATTAACAATGCTTACTCTGACTGTATCAACGAGGGCATTAAAAGGCAGGTTTTCATCGGCACTGGTTGAGTAGGATGTTTGATCAAACATGGGTGGCCTGTTATTTACACCAGAGATGATGATGATGCGAACATACACATTAGATCTGTCGAAAAAAAGGTTGATGAAGTAGAAAAATATTATTGATAACATTAACACTACCATCAACATCAACAACTTGATGACCATCACCACTACCACCATATCCATCATCATCATCATTATCATCAACAGCATCATTGTCAGCAGAATCAACAACACCACTATCAGTAACATCATCACCATCATCATAAACATCTTCACCAACCTCATAATCACCATCACCATCTTTACCACCAGAAGCACCAATATCATCATCGTCGTCGTCATCATCACCACCACCACCATCATTAACCACCAACATCACCATCACTACCATTATCATCAACACCATCATTATAACCATCACCATCAACATCATCCACTATCTTTTATCATCATCAACATCATCATCATTCACAATCATCATTCACAATCATCATCACCACCATCATCACCACCATTATCGCCAACATCAACCCCTCCATCATCATCATCATCATGATCATCAACAGAATCACTCATGAACATCACCACTCCTCCTCCCTTTCTCACTGTTTATTTAGGTCTTGAGGAGCCTGACTATCCGAGGCACGAAGCTGGATGATGTATTCTGAGCCGATGACTAAAGACCCTTCCGAGATGAGACGGATAATGACATCGCTATTCTGCTGCACCACGGAGAACAATGCAATTGCTGGCAAGGAGACGAATGTATGATCGATGATTGGCGGTAAGGATGTTGCGTCGGCATCAGTAACAGGAATCTATGGTTTCAAAAATAATAATAATAGTAATAATTCAATGAAATCTACAATCATCCAAATATGTCTTCATAATGTGTATCTTCCTACCTATCAATGTTATAAATCTACTAATGTTACAAACAATGATTTGCTTCCTCTAAAAGAGTCAATTTATCTCAAACTCAATTTTCCAATACCTAATTTATGTTTTTTAAATTTTTTATTTAGAAATCACTTACTGAAATGACTTCAGTATTGAACGCAGCATTGTCCTTCAGGTTGACTGTATATTGATTTGTTACGGGATCAAAGTACTGGTTTTGTTGAAATTCTGGCGAGTTATCGTTCAGGTCACGGATTAAGATGGTAACTTGGAGGGTCGGGAGCTGTTGAGAAGCTGATGAACAAATAGAAAAAGATAAGAATTAAAAAATATTGTATTATTATAAAAATATAAAGCTTAAAGATAACTAGAGCTCCTGTCAAGTGCCAGAGCACCTTATTTAATAAGGTATTAACGGTACAGTGCTCAAAACATTAGTATTAATTAAGAGCTATATAAATGTAACTATTATTATTATTATTATGATTATCAAGTGATTGCAAAGTGAAAGAAAGTGGATGCAAATAAGAAATAGGAACACCAGGGTAAATAAAAAAAAAAGTTACATAAATATTTATGTAAAAAATTATTTATTCCAGGAATGAAGCAAATCCCTTTTTTGTCCCGATAAATACAAAGAGAGTCATAATTTTCCCAGAAACAAAACTATTGACAAAGAACACTATATGCCTGCGGTAACCATGCTTTAATTTTTTACCTAGGCATTATTAATTCTATATTTGAAAGGAATGAACTTACCATCAAACTGTCCTGATGTATTGGTCGGCCTTGCTATTATCTGTACAAGAAAAACACAAAAAACACATTGAATAAACATTTGAAATATTATGAAATGATAAAAGCCAACCATTCATTTAATGTGCCATTTCGAACACAAGACAAAATATGAGAGAATAACTACTCCTTTTTGAGGGCCAGTGAAATTCCCTGATTTTTGCCTGACTTGGGTAAATTTTCTCAAATTCCCTGGATTTTTATTCCTGACTGAAAGAAGGGGGAAACTCATTTGGTTTTTTTTTTCCTTGATTTCCAGGATTACCAAGAACCTTACAGCCTTATTCAGATATGATGCGGCAAAACCAGAGAGTTAAAAAAAAATGATGACACAGTGGCGGATCCAGGGGGGCACAGGGGGCACGTGCCCCCCCCCCCCCCCCGGCCAAAAAAAATATGTTAAAATCAGCCCTAAATTCGCCCAAAACATACTGAAAACCAGGGGCGTGCCCCCCCCCTGACCAAAAGAAAATGTATAATTGTTTTTATTTTATTTTATTTTAAAAAAATTTAAAAAATGCCAATGGCTGACCTAAAAAGGTAACCACCCCCCCCCCCCCCCCCCCAACGGAGCAAAATGTCAAATTTAAAAATTTTGTGACCAAAATTTTTTTTTTTAAATGTCCTCTTACCCCGCCCCCCCTACTTATTCAGCGGCTGGCTGAGTCGTTGCGATTCTTTTTGGGACTAAAAAAATATATATATATATATATATATATGTTCTCTTTCCCACACGGTGCCCCCCTGGCAAGAAATTCCTGGATCCGCGTGTGACATAAAGCGTAAAACACTTCCCGTTTCTGTAACTTATAATACAGAGCTAAGTTAATATGCGAAGGACCCTTGATGTGCACAGTTGTCTTTCGTTCACTTGTTTACCGCGTCATACCTGAACCAGCCCTGAATTTTCTACCATAAGGTTACTTCATTTGCTTACAGAAACATTGTAGCTTGCTTGAGTTTCAGCATCCAGTGGGGTGTTAGAGAGGCCGCTGTACGAGAGATAGACTCCGTTGGTTCCCACGAGGTCTAGGGTGAAAACAGAGTTGTCATCCAACAGATAGCTCAAGCCGGGATCTTCATCCTATGAAGAAAAAAAATGAGAAAAAGAGACATTTACATAATATTGGATCGATGGCCTGAGTGTAATGCTGGCTCCCACAAACTTTTTTTGCCTCTCTGACTGTGTGCTATTTTGCACAACACAATAGGCACTGATTGATCTAAGGATTTCTTTGTGCATTCATTACATTGGATTTGCAAAACTAGCCATTTCCAGTCTTGATTAGCTCCATGACAGCCCTATATTTACACGGGTACAGACTAATCTTGATCTGGAGACAGTTATATGAGCTGGAAGCTTTTAGTATATATATCTGGCACATGCAGGGAGATTATTTGTGTAATTTAAAAAGAGATAAAGGGAAAACTACACTCTGATATTAGTTTGGTTTAAATAAAAGCAGACAAATAAAAACAAAAATAAGTGAAAGGTTGAGCAATATGTGATTAAAATCAGGACAGTTATGAACTTTTAAAGTTGTCATCAGTGAAACGCACACAATTGGCAACACTGTGATGTATCTTGCAAGGTCCTCTCCAATTTGCTGGGTATAAAAAATTTCATAAACTTTCATTTTCTTATTGATGACGAAATAGATGAGAAAAGATACATTTTACTTTTTTTTAGTAAAGTACCGGGCAAATGGGAGGGGACATTGTATAATACGCCACAGAGTTGCCAATTGTGTATGATTGAATGCACCTTCAAAAATTCCTTACTTTCTTATTTTTCATCGGTTTTGGCTCAAACTTCCACTGACCCTAGTAGTTTAATTCTCTCCTTTTTTTCTGCTTCTATTAAAATCAACTTGCTATCAGGGTGGATTTCCCCTTTAAAGTGACTCAGTAACATATTGCCTCAGATTCTGAAACAAAGTCCATGATTTAGCTCATGCTGCAAATCATAATTATAAACCTTTAGGTAAGTCAGGAATCCCATGACTTTTTCGAGCCAATCCCCTGTCTGATTATCAAGATATTTATGATTGGAAATCGAAATTTCAATTTTCGTTTTCTTAACGTTTTTTAATACCACAACAGTCTATTGGGGAAAATGAGTATGGTAAAACCAATCACTCAAAGATTTTTAATTTTTTGAGGCACTTCAAGATCATTTTGAAGCACAATTTTTTAGTACTTCAATATCACAGACACTGATAATACGTAGGGCAATGCATCTCAGATTTAACTTTGTTAAATGATGCCTTTAATATCCAGTCTTGAAAATTACCTGATCCAGATCAGGGTCTGTTGCTTGGATAAGCAGAGGAACGATACCGTTCGAGTCAGCTGTTACCCGAGTTCCCGCAATAACATTCTCGGAGATGTAACCAGTCATTGTTGTATTTGGGAAGGTTGGCTGGAAATTATTGATGGGCGTTACCTCTATGATCACGGTCGCTGTGCTGCTGCTTGAACCTTTGGTGGCCTGCGAGGGGAGTATAATCAAAGATTTATAATCCCATAGATAGCAGTTTAGAGTTAATTTGCTTAGATCTTAAAGGGAGTGTGTCATCACAAGACTATCTTTCCCGTGGGCCTACTCGGGAACAATCGGGTATAATACGACTACGGACGACGCTACCACAGCATTCAGGTGCATGCAACATACACGAAACCGAAGCGCGAGGAGAACTTCGGTCTGTTTCGCGAACGCTAGCGTGCGCTGACCCAATTAATCAAGTCCATTCGTTTACGTGCAGTTGTCCAAAAGGAAACGTAGATGGCGTTAACCAGTATTTCCCATGACACACTCCTTTTAATATACTAGATTTTCCTCCTACTCAAATTGACACTATTTATTTTAATTTTCCACTTGTATATACAGGGAGTTAAAAAAAATTGAATTAACCAATGTGTTCACACAAAAAAAATAAAAAATTGTGAGTTTTAGATACTACTGCCAATTTAGAGACTTTAAAGCGGGACTGCACTACTTATAGCTACTTGCGCCCTCTATATAGCAAAAAATGCCTAAGCGGTACCCATTGGTTCCCCATGATCCCCTTTTTCTTATGTTAATTGAGAGCTGATTTGATGAGATAACCACCTAGTTGTCAGTGACCACGCTGAGTTCTAATCCCTCCTGGCCAAACTAGCGCAGACAGGCTTTAATGGTGACTTACAATAAAAGTATTCTTAAATGTGTGATTATGTTATTATAAATGTTCACTTACTGCGACAGATATACTAAAGACGTCATACTCCGATCGGCGGACTTGTTGAAGAAGGTTCACCTGCCCCGTAGTAGGGTTGATAGAGAAGAAAGAAGAATACTGCGGAGGTTGCCCTGATATAGAGATAAACAAAGAGCAATGAAAACAAGACATTATCATCATCATTATCATTGTCATTATTGTTATTATTATTATATATGTCATTTGTTGCAAATCCTTAGCCTAAAAATATATGTCTATTTCCATTTTTCCATAATATAACTGAAGAAAAAATGTTTAGTTTCTAGGAAATAATATAAAAAATAGAGAAAATGGGATTGGTTGACGTGGCCAATATCCCAGTTTGTTCCCAATTTGATTCCAAATATTTAATTCCAAATAATTAGACGCTTACCTCCAGTGAAGGAGAACGTTACAGACTGCGGATCCACGGTCCCTCCAGAACTATTGACAACCCTGATCTGGTTCGGGGAGAACTGCAATGGACCTAATCTTGGCTGCAAGAAAATAAATTAGAAAGATAAAAATAATTTTGTACATGAATATGAAAGATGGCCTAATGTGTTAATATGTTTTATTATTATTATAAGGTTTATTGGTAATGTATTTTATGAGAAAAGAATACTCTGTAAACAAAAATTATGCTAGATTTTTACACAGAAGAATAAATTCTGATAACAAATGTTTCAAAGATTTGATCCCTGTCTAGAAAAAAAATCTCTGTATGACTACATTCAGTATAAAATATATTAGCATTATATTGGTCCTAATGGAACAACGGACCAATAGATTAAACAATAAAATGGTCCTACATTACGTCCTGCTGGTCTATAGCCAAATGAAAAATTTAAAGAGCACCACTGGGACTGAAATAGAAAATGTCTAGTGATATTAATTATTTCATGTTAGTGATGGCCTGTGCCATTCCTCAGTTGCCATGACTTTCCATTATTTGGGGAGATGTAATTGTCTTCATTTCCATGACTTTTCAGTTTTTGACCGTGGGATCCCTGTCAATGGGTTGTCTGTGATTTTGTACTTTCCTGGAATGCTGCTTTATAGAGAGGTGATTTGATTTCTGGGCCCCATTTCACAAAACTTGACATTAATGACAAATGACAGTTTTTGTTATAAGCTGGTGAATTCCTTACTTCTGATTGGTTATCAGCAGGTTTGTCACTGATTTTTGTCATTTTTGTCATTTGTCATTGAAAAAAGGCTATGAGAAACGGGGCCCAGGTCATAAAAATAAAATGTCTACCAGCTCTTTGGACATGTTTAGAGGATCAATGGGATACTACGTGTGTAGACGTTCAAAGACAAAGATAATCTCACCGTTTTCTCCAGTACAGAGGCCCTGTATTCCACGTTTGTACAAATTGTTGTGTTGCATCCTACAAACATTGGAGCTTGGTCATCAGCATTCAGTACGGTCACGGTCAGCGTTGCCATCGACGACCGCGGAACAACACCTCGATCCTGTAGAGATTAATAGTCATTTGTTCAAACTCGTATTTACTAAAATGGTTATCTTTCATTGTTAAAGCTTATCTGTACTAGTTTATAGGAGGGATTACAGCACCCTGCAAGGTCACTGCACAGGTGGTTATCTCATCAAATCAGCTCTCAAATAACATAAGAAAAAGGGGATCATGGGGGACCAATGCTCACCGATTAGGAATTGTTTTCTATATAGAGGGCGCAAGTAGCTACAAGTAGGACAGGCTTTAAAGCATCTCAATCAGACCCTGAATATATTCAGAGGGACAAACTTTTTCTTCTCTAACACTTGATGAAATAGTAACCCAACATAATGGATTAAACTGAAAAGGAAACCATTTTATTGAATTTTATCAACTTGAGCTATCCTTTTCACCTGTGACATCAATCCACTTCCCCATCCCCATCCCCCTCCTGGACATTGCTTTCTTTCATTCTCACCTTTGCTACAATTGAGACTATCCACTGTTGTCTTGACTCAAAGTCAAGAATCTGTTACAGTGTCACCTTCTAAGTGACATCACCCCTCTCTCTCCCCCTCCAGGAACTCCTCTCCTAGACCCAACCCCCTCCCCCTCCTGGACAGTAATTACTTTTATTCTCACCTTTGCTAAAATTAAGACTATACTCACTGCTGTCTTGAAATGTGGATGGTTTGCAACATCGTTACCTATGACATCAACATCCCCCCACCCTCCAAACCCCTTCCTAGGCATTTTATTTTATTCTCACCTTTGCTACAATTGAGACAGTCCACTGTTGTCTTGTCTCAAAGTCCAGGCTCTGTAACAGGGTCACCTCTCCTTTACCAGTGTTTGGCATGTCAAAATAGGAGTTTGACATCTGCATGAAAAGATGAAAAAAATGACTAATAAAGAGGAAGAATACCCTGCTTTTTTAGACACATGTAGGATGTAAAATTGGATGCCCCAACAACCATTGAATTAGAGAACAATTCTAGACAGATCAAACCCCTAACTGTCAGTAAGGGGGTCAAATTTACATGTATATAGAACAGAAAAACTTATACATTCAGGTACATGACATGATTGGTCATTTAAACACAATAACAAAAACAAAGTCCTCAGCCATTTGTTCAACAATATTCTGGATAAAATATTCAAAAGAATTACATTTTTAGATGTTTTACTTAGATGTATTGCAGAAAGTCCATAGCATATTTTTTTCTAAGTTTCCCAAACAGGAGGAAACAGACACCAAGAGAAGAAATAATCCTGCTATACTATTAATGAAAATCACTTTGATTATTCCATTTAAATTTTTTAGAGTAGACTTAAAAATCATTAACCTAACAAAAATTAGCAAATGTAACAAATACCTTTTAGAATTGAAAAGTTGTATAAGCAAACGTTTTCACAGACCTGTACAGATAGATTGCAGATGACAGGGAAAGACACTTTTGCAAGGCGTTGTTATTGCGATAATTAAAACAGGCTGCAATACAAAACATTGTTCATGTTCATTCATATATCCACGAACGATAAGCAAATTTTGCAAAAGTAACAGCTTATACAGTAAATAAATACAACATAGTCAAAATGCACATGTGAATTACCGGATCATTTTGATTTGGTACAATTTCGAAGCTTATCTGGCCGTTGCGGTTGTCACCATCGTTATCATCGGCTTCTATCCCAGCAAAAATAACTTCATTGATTGCTGTAGCCTGGAAAAAAGAAATATTAAGAAAGGTGCATTTTATAAAGGAAACAATTTAATCACCGAAATTCGCCATAAATATAGGTTTGGGTTTTAATCTAGTTATCCTATATTCTAAATATCAGCTTCATATATTATTTCTGTATAGAGAAGGGGTGGGGTAATAAACAGTTCCCCCCTTCCTCGACCACCCCCAATGTCAAATACATCTTACTACGAATGTAAAAAAACATCATCCCTGTTGATAATAAACACAATATATATATCAACACTTTTAAAGTAGAAAGAGAAAGAAAGTTGAGGCATGAGAACAGACTGCAAACAAGGCGGAGCCAGGGGAGAGGGAAAAGAAGGAGGAGAGCCAGAGAAAGGTAGAAAGATATAGGAAAAAAAAGAAGTAGAAGAAGAAGAAAAAGTGAGAGATAGAGAGAATTAAACATACCTCTGATACAGACACTGTATATGGCGCTCCAATGAAGAACGGTGTGTTGTCATTAGCATCATTCACTTTAATAAGTATGTCATAATTAAAGTTGATCTAGAGGATTGAGAGGAAGAAAAAAAAAAGAACTTTTGATTCCTATATTAAGGATTTAAGAGCATCCATTCCATGAATTAAATTGTCTGAAAATGAAAAACGTGTACAATATGATCATTTAATATGTATAATTTCATTTCATTTTGATATATTTACATTTACCATTCAACACTATGCTTAGTCAATAGCATTCTCATATATTTTGTCTATTTCGAAATTGATGTGCCTCCAATCGAATGGCATTCTTTTATTTCAGTTGTAATAATTCATAATAATTTAATAATTAAATGTTCATATTACTATCAAGATAAGGTTACATTTCCACAGAAATTATAATCATACTTATCAATATCATGATAAGCGCATATCGATCTGATTTGTACTTCTCATCACTGAATGTGGTTTTCATTTTTTAAATTATTCTTTAATCGCAATATCAGAACTCAAAATGAGGTTAAAGGAGAGAAAAATACTGTTCTAACATAATAACTTACCAATGTTTGACATTGTACCGTCAAGGAAATGGATTTCACTGCATTTGGGGGCTGCAAGAAAGGAAGAAAAAAAAGATGTGATGTATGACCCCTTTCATCGATTGTTTTCATCACCACTATGAATACCATCACCATCATAGTTCAGTAGTTCAGTACTATCACCACCATCAGCACCATCATCAGCATCAACACTATTACATAGCACCAAATAATCATTATATACCTCATACATAGATTTTCATTGGTCAAAACTATATCACATGACAAGGAGCATCTCGACCTATCATTGCATCAGAGGGTTTTGGAGTACTATCACAGGGTGATGATAGTTTGTACAATTACCCTCGTAGTCGGTTAATAAGTGCTTACTATATCACCATAATCATCACCATCACCACAACTATCACCACTACCATCATTATCAACATTACGACCGACACCATCATCCTGATCACCACTATCATAATCATCATAATCCTCATCATCATTATCATTATAATCCTCATCATCATCATCATCATTATGTCCACCATCAGCATCACTACCACAATACCACCATCAGCATTAATACCAACACTATCACCACCATGATCATCATGATCATCACCATCATCATCACCATCATCACCACCACAATTATCATCACCACCACTACCAACAACATCAGCAATAATATCAACACTATCACCACCACAATCATCCCCATCATCATCACTTTCATCCCCATCATCATAATTTAAAAGTTGAGATGTTGACATACATCTGCATCCACTGTTTGGACGAGCATCAGCTGCTTGGTAAGGACATTGATAAAAATGCTTGGGTTATCCTGAGTGACCACTAGAGTTATGGAGCCGGAACTCCCGGTGATGCCAGTGATTGGCAGGAACCCAATTGATGTCCCTGCAGAAAAGAAAACAAACAAACAACTTGAATATTCAAAATATTTGCACAACAACAACAAATGAAATTTAATTCACTTTCAGTTACAGTTTTGTAAGTTCAATGATGTCATTTTTTGTCATGATATATACCAGTATTTTAAAAACTTGTCTCTCAGTGGCTATGATAACAACAAAACTTTCCCTATGATTGCAAATGCAATTGAAACTCTCTTAGTTATGATGTAAATGATTTACGTATCTATTTGAGATTCACTGTCAACTCCTATCAAATGTTGTGTATTCCGTTTTATTTGATGTTCATTTGAGGGATTAAATCATTTATTTCTGGAGTGATACAATGTGATTTGCAAATACGTGTATGGACTGTAATATACTTGATTATATGTTTTGCCCTTTCATTATCATGAAAACAATAATTCAATTCATTTTTTAAAAATGGGACATTTGTCTAACATACAATTACTTTTGAGAACAAAAATGCACATTATCACCATCATCACCGTCATTATCATTATCATCACATCATCATAATCACTACATCAACATCATCACTACAATCATAATCATCATCATAATCTCTTCATCTTCATCATCACTACAATCATTACCACCACCAATACAATCATTATCATCACCATCATCGCTACAATAACCATCGCCACCATCAAAACAGTTATCACCATCATCATCATCATCATCATCATCATCATCATCATCATCATCATCATCTCTTACCAGCAGGATTTGATTCACTTATTTCAAACTCAATTACTGGATCAGTATTAAGCCCATCTGATCTCTGGCATTCTAGAATGCAAAGAAAACAAAATAACCAACTTTAAAAACAATAACATTCCTGCATTATAGAATCACTTTTTTGACAAAAAATGCTATAAATGAATGAAGGGAGATAGAATTTGCAAATGAAGTTTAACAACATGAGATGACAGATACACTGAAAAAAATCCCAGTGTTATGACTATGGTTTCTTCCACAATTTTACTTCATCATGTTAATTCATACAAGTAATTTACAAGGTAACATGAAGCAGTATAGTAACAAATGCTAAATGACTAAAAATAAAATTCCTTTTTTAATAATTATTAACAATCCCACTATCTTCTAAGATGTGCATTCAAATCAAAATGAGTTTGAACGAGACATCGGTCAACTTCTATATATTATGGTTTTGTGAAATGATTCCCAGATCTACAGATCAAGAATAGCAGCCAGGAACATTATTAATATAAACATAGAAAATATCAACATTTTGATAATGGACAATCACAATGTAGAACTAGTTCTGGGTGCAGAAGGATACAAAATACTATTCTTGTGTTTTTTCATCTTTAATTCTATGCACACATGAAGAAAAGAAGAAGTAGTGCCTGCAAATACAGTGATTTCAGTAAAAGATGCACAAACAAATGAAAAGCACAGCCACAGGAATTTAATGGATCTTAAATAATTCAAGTATCAAAATAGCACAGATAAAAGAATTAAAGAATACATCATCCTAGTTTTAGTAACATACTGGTTGTTAAAGTAGTAGTCTACCATGATATTAGTTTGATTTGAATGAAAGCAGGGTTATCTCAGAAACAGGAGGGAATCTTTGAGATGGTAAAAGGGCAGAAAGGAAAAGTATGAATTAGTTTTATTAGGCCATAAAACAGCCTTTCAAACTTACCTTGGCCTGATCAATCGATGAACAGGAGGGAAAACAAAGGGATGCAAATACAGATATAAACAACCACATTAAACACATATTTACAACAAAAATATATTAGTGCATTAATTATCACATATCCCTGTAAAACCAGAACTTTTTACAAATTTTACCGATTGGTTCACATTATGAAAATTTCAGGCCACAAGAGTGATTAATTTACCTGTTTGGAGCTAAAAGGATATTAACTCAGGCTTTGACACAGGGTTAATGCCCTTCTGGCTCTGAACAAAGGAAATCATATTAATAAAAACACAATTTTTTTGAAAATTGTGACAATTTCTTGCTACCAAAGCAGGGCCATCATTGATGATTTTGTTTTCCATATGTGAACATTTCCATGGACAATGATTTTGTTGCAGTGTAAAGTGCACACATATTTGCTTCCTGTGCGTAAACATATTTCTTATGTATACCTACTTCAATTGCATATTTTGAGTTTTTTCAAAATTGCTAAATAATGTGCAGAGTTTTAAACATTCTTTGATTACTTAAGACTCTTCTTTAAAAGAAAAATTTTCTACTAAATAAAACTGAACTTTCCAGATAATCGACCTGTCCTAAAAAAAATTGTAACAATATAAGAATGTATGTAAAAATTAAATGTGCTGTAACCACATTTAGTTTTCAATGATTATTTCATATAAGGGTTATGGAATACTAGCATTGGTCTTTAAAGCTATATGAAATTAACTATCAGTTAAGGTATTATAGCAAAAACAGACTTTATATATATATATATATATATATATATATATATATTATGACAACACCAAAACATGTATGCACATTTTGTTAAAATGTTTAGACAACTGACAAAATCAAAGTTTATAATGATAACAACTTTAACAAATCATATATTCTGGACTCTATATATTCCTTTTGCAATACAGGTAATTTCAATGATCTTAACTTTTTTTAAATGTAGTATCATGGTTTTTTTTTTTTTTACTCGGGGACATGATTTGTTTTCAGCAAAATGCACTATTGGTATTTTCTACAAAACAAAAGTGTTTTACAAAGGTGCACTTAATATTCATTTCTGAATTTTCGCAGTCCTTTTCCAAGATGCATTTGCTACAAGTACATCTGTGCTATTTTTCTAGTGTGTTAATCACGCACAGACAACCATGCAAACCAAGTGTAAAATCTTTAATGAAAAACAATGATGCTTTTTGTGTGAATGCAATACTGTCATTTCTCCTTTTTTCTATTTTCTTACTATGCAAACATCTTATTTCCTACAAATCATAAAAATCAATGAAAGATGATCATGGCAAAAACTGCATTCTAAACTTGAACAAAAATCACATCATCTGTTCAGAACCACTATATGTTAAATTATAAGAAAAACCTATTAACATACCTCATCATAAGATACAAGTGTTTTTATTTCTTTTTCTTTGTTTGTTGGATTTCTCAAGTTAAGCAAACTGAGCAATATCTTAATGGATTTTGCGCCATATAAGAAACAAGCGTATGTATGCACCATTGTGTATGTTAGGGCATTGACTCCATTTTAAAGTATAAAGTTCAATGCCCTTTTGGCTCCAAAAAGATGATACAATATCTGTTTACTCACGATCCTAAACTTGAGTTTCAAAATGCAAGTTCTGATTTTTTTTCTTCAATGTTCATTATTTATATCATAACTCTTCACAATCACTAATATTTTCAGCAATGTGCTTGTGAAAATTCTTACCTATTCCTGGTATCTGCCTCTTTTGACGATCTGTTAGAGCACAACATCAACAATTTAGTTACATAAAATAATATTAGTAAATACCATGCATAAAAAACTTGTACAATTTAACATAATCATTAATAAATCATATCCTTTGTAAGGACAACATTTGTTATATCAAACGACCAAAACAAATGTACAATGTCTAAATTGGGCCCTGTTTCATAAAACTTTTTGCCGATAACAAGTGCTAAATTTCTATGACAAATTTGATCTCAGCCAATCGGATGACACAATTTCAGTAGCTTATATAACAGTTATTGTAACTTGTTATTGATAATATGTTTCATGAAACAGGGCCAGAACCAAATGATGATTGGCATGCATTTACTCTCTTGATTAAACAAAACAAATACTGTATGTTTGGAAAATTAGTGGTTTCTATTTAAATAGTTAGTCGGAACAACTTTCAAAACATGTAACATGTCCAAATTTTAGAAGATCCCTAATGAGATTTTACATAAGGCATATTTAATTTTGCCAGTGAGGAAAAGGTGGACACTATATGCACACATTATTTTATACTATATAAAATGATAACTATGTTAAAACATGAATTAAACATGCTAAGTTACATCCACATAGTCTGAACAAAATATGAATATATTTGATTATTTTGTAGGTGTTAATTCCATGAATATTTTAGAATATCAAATTAGGAATAGATGAAAATATACACCATAAAAAGGAAATAAAAAATAATATACTCACCAAAGGCTGTTGAAGTGAATAGAAAAATAAAAGAAAGAGAGGAAAAGAGAATAAAAGAGAATTAGACTACTTTTTCTTGATCAATGCTTTCATTGTTATCATAAGAAAGCAATACTGACACACGTATACATGTATATGATGACAGGAGCTGACTGGGCGATGGACATATCATGCTCAACATACAATTACTACTGGTATTTTTTATGTATTTTTTACAGCCATCCGGCATCGCGTAATGCTCACAACAAAAGTACAATTTTGTTGTTGTTGTTTTTTTAATTATCCTTCCTGGTTCCTGAATTAAAGAAGATTAAATCACTGTTCATTTCCCCCATTAAGCCCTGTTACTGTAATGACCCACTTAATCAGCTTACAAAAAAGAATGCCACAGCTACATTAAAAAAAAAAAAAAAATTATATGCAAATAAATGGCGATTTTGAGGTGGAAAAAAATAGCTGTGTGCAAGAATGGCCCATACAATCATGTCTAATATTTGTGTGTTATGCAGGGCTCAGCACTTACACGCATCCCAAAATTAGGTCCACCCCCCCCCCCTCCACCCAATTTTGAATTGTTCACATAAGGCTCATGCATGCAGACTTTAAAGCCCAACTGCACTACTTATGGCTACTTGCGCCCTCTATATAGCAAACAATGCCTTATCGGTGACCATTGGTCCCCCATGGTCCAATTTTTCTTATGTTAATTGAGAGCTAATTTGATGAGATAACCACCTGCCAATTATGGCCATGCAGGGAGGTCTATTCCTTCCTGGCCAAACCAGTGCAGAGGGGCTTTAAAAGCTTGATTCGGACCCCTTCATATTAAAAAAAGTTAATGTGGAGCCCTGGTACATGTTTTGTATTGATCAGGACCCATCAATTCCAATCCCCATGATGTAATACACACTTCTAATGGCCTATATCATCAACAACAACCTGGGCTCAGCGAGGCAGCTGTGATTGGACAATATTGATCCACCCATCATGTGATACGGGATCAATATTCAAATGAGCCGTTAACAAAATATGGTGGGTAAATATTATGTGGGTGTACGAATTTGCATTTCATTAGCATGAAGCCAATAGGCATGTGTAGTATTAAACACAATTAGTATAGCACGTGGTAGATAGTTACATGTTGTACAAATTATATCATCACAGCTCTATCCATCTGAATCAAGTAATGAAGAAAAAAAAGTTGATATAAGCCAGTACACCTCTAATAAATAAGCATAGTAATGGTCCAACTTTGTAAAAAGTGTAGGAGAATTTAACTATGCATTATTGTTTTAGGGCCTATTCATAGCCCTTTTGTAAAATTATGTAATTTCATTATAATAATTGCTTTGAAAAATTGTATTATTATGTCAGGTTTGAATTCAAAGTAATCTATTTAATAATACTTGTACTAAATATAGTTTCCTTCCCAAAATACCCCCTCTCTTAATCATTCGACTCTCTCTCTCTCTCTCCTTCTCTCTCTCTCTCTCTCTCTCTCTCTCTCTCTTTCCTCTCTCATTTCTTTATTCTCCATCTCTCCTCTCTTTATCTATCTCCTTTCTCTCTCCATTGTTTTCTCTTCTACCCCTCCCTCCCTCCTTTCCACTTTCCACTCTTCCTTCTCCCTTCTTCCCCCTCTCATATCCCTTATCCACCCCTCCCCCTCCCCCCCCCATTCCTCCTTTGCCCCCATATACTCAACTTTTCCATAATCAATCTGTTCCTGACATGTCACCCAGCACTACTTTGAAGACAGATGATGAATCATAGTATTTCACTATTAAGTGGCACTTTAGTCATCCCCTGGGTCATGATCAACCTAAAGTACCTAAAGTTGAAATGTACTGTTTTACAATATTAGTGAAAATAACAGGCAAATTAACAGTTTGTCCTATTTTTCTGTTTGAAAGATTACCATACTCAAAGAATATACAAAAGTGTTTACAAGTGGAAAGCATACATGTATAGTTTAGTTCTTTTGTTTTGCTTATCTGTTTCTTGGTTTGTTTTGGAGGGGTAAACATGTAGATACAAAGATGCAGGAACTATATATACCTTTAAATGAACTTAAAATAGAATGATTACCTGCTAATTGTAATTTCTTTAAAAGTATTTCATTATTTCACATTTTAAGCAGCAGAAATCTGGGGGAAAATCCTAGCCATTAATTAAATCAAATTACAAACCAGTATCAAACTGGAAATACGCAAATATTCTCTTTCTCATTTTTGTGATTACAAATATGAAAGCAGCAAACAATGAATGCTTATATCAATATGGATTTCTCTCCCCCCCCCCCCTCTCTCTCTCTCTCTCTCTTACCTCCTCTCCCTCTCTCTTGTTATCTTTCTCTCTCTCTCTCTCACCTTTTACTTTAAAACTCCCATACTTTTCCTCAATCCTTAACATCAGAAACATACAATTTATGAATTCTGCGACAGCACTTTCTCAAAATCCCATCACGCTTCTCCATGCAGTCCAACAGCCATAGATTAATGTATTCGTATTCTCTCTATCACAAATGTCTCTCCTTTCTTTCTGTCTGTCTGCATGTCTGTCTGTTTCTCTCTCTCTCTCTCTCTCTCTCTCCCTTTGTCTCTCTCTCTCTCTCTCTCTCTCTCTCTCTCTCTCTCTCCATCCATCCTACCTACTTCATGCAGTCCCACAGATATATTAATGTACAGTATTTATATCTTCAAGTCATGTTCTATTGCAAAGCTGGGATCAATATTTTATCCAGGATGCAGGGACTGGCTCCGACAATGGGCCCTGATCAATAAATTAAAGATTGGTATGCTGCATGCATTGATGAATACCACCTGATCGCTATAAAAGTAAGAGGATAAATCAATACTTAATGAAAGGATGAGAGGCCACTTTGGGAAGTGTAGAAGAGAGTAGAGACTGTATGTCATTTTGCATCACCAGGCCATGATCAGTCAAACCGTGATAGAAACCAGTTGCATGTAAAACCCTGTATCTTGAGCAAATTAGATATTTAAAAGTCTTTATCTCTAATAGAGGTTCTGTGGTCTTGTGCATGGACCAAGAATCACAAGTTACAGTATTTAAATATACCTGCCATGACACTGATATTCTTTGGCAATACATTAATCTAAATTTGCCACTCTCCACCCAGGTGAAGTGAATGGATACCAGTAGGAAGTGATTCTGGGACTGGCAAACTGACTGCTTTGATATCAGCACCTTCATCTGGGCAGCTGGACTAATTGGGATAATAAACCAAAGCTCTTCGGAAGCGCATCTATTGTTAATATGTGATATGTGCTATACCAAAAACTACTCAGAATATCATCCTCATTATCATCATCTTCATTAATATTATTACTATTATCTCACATGTTCAGTTCATCTTCTATATGACAAAAGGAAATATTATTAAACAACTAACCTCTTTGAATGAAATATTTAAAAATTGGTTTGTGACTAAATTCCAATTGAAAGATAATTAGCTACAGTTACATTGCAGTTCTAACCTGAACTTTTATAGAAATCTAACTATGCATATCATTTCTAATCCAGCAATATAGAGTCTTACAGGGTAAAATTTCCCTAAATGGTCATTAAACATGAATTGTAAATTCAATATTACTTCCTCTAAAGGGTGGTTTGTGTTTCATACAATGCAGTCATATTACATGCATCATTATATGGTTGAATTACTTCAAGGTTTGCAGATCAAAATAGACTATACAGGTTCATGGTTTTGTTTGCTAAAAACAGTATTTATGGATACATAACATGTCAATTAGCCTATGATTTCTTCACAAATAAATCAAAAAGTACCTAATAATACTATAACTCTAAAATAATTGCTATGACGTTTATTTGAACAAACAGGTGAAGGCCAAAAAGTGCTACATTGCAAAACACCTTTCTTTGCACTTTAAAAATACATGATGATGACCTAATTAGTTTTCAGTATTTTAGTCTTTGCAATTTTGTAACAAAAATGTCATCTAAAATAGAGGAATATACTCTTTATACCTCTTTCTATCTACATTGTTCTTTGCAATTTTTAACAAAAAATGTCATCTAAAAAAGAGGAATATACTCTTTATATCTCTTTCTAACTACATTGTTCTTTGCAATTTTGTAACAAAAATGTCATCTAAGAAGAGGAATATACACTCTTTATATCTCTTTCAATCTACATCGTTCTAGTAATTTTAACATACTATGTAGATGAAGGTCTGATATCATGGTTATGTACCTCTAAATGTAGATAATCCTAAGCCTAAAATATTAAGCCACCTCTCATGCACACACCTTGATCTAGGTGACCGCGCCTTCTTTTCAATTGCATCCAAACTCTGGAATAATCTCCCTCCTAATGTCCATGAAGCCCTTTCCTTGATTCATTAAAGGGTAGATTGAAGCCACATTGTTATATCAAATACATCATTGGTTGCTATGTAAACAAGACGGTACGCATGAACGGATGGATGAGATTGAACATACCTTTTTACATGTACATGCATGAGTGGATGTGGGATGCGCTATAATTAGATGCTAGCATACATGTTTATATTAATACCTGTGTCTCAAACACAGATGTTTCAGACTGTACACACATCTACTGTATGATATAAACCCACATCATTTTAAATTGGTTTTGGAGTTAAAAATAGGAAATTTCCTCAATCTCTAAAATTATTATTGGATGCTTGGAAAATCAAAATGTATCAAATTCATTTTCCATTCATTTTGAAGGTGGAGAAACAGCATTTTGAAAATCCTTTTCAATAATAATAATAATAATTTTGTTTACTAAGGGAAGCCTGATCAGCACTATACTGTTCTTCCTGATGGCCCTGCAGTTATTATCACCCCAGCAATTGCCAGGTACCCACTAACACCTGGGTGGAGAGGGACAAATGCAAATTGATGTCTTGCCAAAGGAGGATAGGTGCCGAGTTGTGATTCAAATCCGCAACACTATGGGATTGAGAGTCATGTGAATAGGGCACTTTACCACGACA